GCACCCCAACTCTGGAATGAGCTTCCCAGAGAGGTGCCCTCTTTATACTCTTTTTTGGCGCCAGGCAAAGACTTTTTTATTTCACTAGTATTTTGTTAACCTGTTTTTAATGGCATTTTAACAATGTGGTATGCCTTTTATGATATTACTAGTTTTGTTAAGCTGGGTGCATTTTTATTCTTTTAACATTTTATTTGACTTGTGTTTTATACAATTTACTGTTTTATATGATTTTATTATTGTAACCTGCCCAGGGAGCCATGTGACTAATGGGGTGGGTTAGAAATAAAATCATAAATACATAAATAACCTACAACGACTTTGTAGTGGCAGAACTGCTTTTATTATTTTATGCAGTGCTAAGCACTGAAAACAAGATCCATCCCCTCTGCAGTGGAATTTATAATCTAACCACATACTTTAGTCCCATGCTTCTCTGTTAAAGCATGAAGAATTAGGAACCACCTGGGACAGGTGCCATGGCAAGGTTCCTGTTTTCATATGTGACTTGAGATCATGTGGAAGTAACTTCCCATTCTGAAAAAGTGACATTTCAACCTCCCCTCCCCCAGGCACAGTGAATATTTGGAGAAATATTTCAGTAAAAATGTTAAAACTGAGAGAGTGTTTGCCTGAAAATGTTCCTGATAGCCCACTCTCACTCTAGAATAGGAATTGCTGTTTCTGCCAGCTGTTTTAGGGAATTTTGGGAGGAATTGAATTGGTAGGAATCCCAGAGAATCCTGTTTTTTTCTCATGCTAGTTGTGTTTTGCTGTAGCAGATAAAAACAGCAGCAGTTAAAGTTCAATCCAAATTGTCTTGGAAAGTCCCTGTTCCCAAGGGCTCTTATCTCCTGCATTCTTTTAGGAAGCAAGGAAGGTAAACCTCTAGTCAACATGGTGAAGCACAGGCTGGAGAATATCTGCAAAGATAAGCTGAATCTGTGTGAACAAAATGGAGGGACTCTCTAGCAATTTGACACCAGCCAGGGCATAATTAAGAACAGGGCTAGTCAACCTGGCACACCTAGATGTCCTGGAGTACAACTCCTACCAATGATGTAGTTCAACACTTGTGGAAGGCATGAGGCTGAGGAAAGCTGCTTTAGATGCTATCAGGCAGCCTATGGCAGTTATAGGTGGCCTATACATGCAGTCAGTCAGTCTGCTAAGGGCACAATGCTATGCACGTCTAAACAGAAAAAAAACCATACAGCTCCCAGCTTGCCGCAGCCACTATGTCTAACAAGCATAGGTTTGCACCCTGAGTGACACAGTGCATTGACAAAGTACTGACACACACATTTTGCATGTTCATAGTGCTGTTCAGAACTTTGTGGATTAACTAATTGGATGTTATCGCTCTTTCTAGAGCATCTATTGCAGTGTACTGGAGATTCGCTTCCCTGCTTTAGGCTTGCCTGTACTATGTGATAGTGAACCTGGAGACTACCTCCAAGATTGTCAACCATTCTTTCCAGAAAGGAAATGTAGACTGGGGATCCTGAAACATGAATGTGTCTGATGGAGGGTTCAGCTCTTGCAGGATATATGTTTATCTTAATCTTACCTCTAGTGGGCCAGGTGTTGCAAGGCTTTTGTATTGCTTCAAAACACTGTCAAGCCTGTTTGACCAGAAGCTGTGTTGGAACTCAAGAGAGGGTCAGTTGTGTTAGTTGCAGCAAAAATAACAAGGAGCCTTGTGGCATCTGAAAGTCTAACATATTTATTCTGGCATAAGCTTTTGCAGACTGTTCTTCAGATGTATGAAATGATCCCAGCAAAATAGTCAATTAATATACAAATATTGGGGGTGATGGAAGCACCATTCAGAAGAGAGGCTTTTCTCAAGCTACGTATATGTCTTTAGTACAGTTGTCTGCCTTTGGATCGCCACCCACTAAAGTAATTTTTCCACCCCTTTGCTGCTCCACATCAAGTGTAAGTAAAGTAAATACAGAAATATTGAAGGCACAGCCAATTTCAGGAGTCTAATTGTGGCTTTTGGGGCAGAAGAGAAGGCCCTACCAGGACAGGTTGTATCTTGATGGCACCAGTCTGCTGCCTTCCTTGCCCCAGCTGGAATGCCCACCAATCCCTTTTCCAAGGTTAGGAGAAGCAGCTAGTGAAATTATTTCTACGCCGACTATAGGAGCAAGCAGCTCCAATGTTGGAGCTGGGACTCTGAAAAATTTTATGACTCTCTCAACACTATCTAGGATTTTTGCATAAGATATTTTAAGCTATATTTGTAATTATAGTTAAGGTATTCTGTATCATGCTGTAAGGATAAATCAGATTTGAGGCATGATTCATATAACATTAATCCAGGTACCTCTTGCTTTCTTTGGTAGTATTAATTATGAGCATATCAATCTTTGGAGCTAGATAGCTCAGACTGAAGATCTTGCAGAACTGAATGTGAGACCAGTTGCAAAACTTGCAGATCTTTCCAGATAAATGGAGTTGTGTTTTCTAAAACATTCTGTTTCTGTCAATTTGTTTCAGCCATACTTGTAAATAGCCATTTGCTCCATTCTCCTGTCAGGAAAGTTTATGTGTAAATCACAATGTACCTTCCCTTCCCTTCCCTTCCCTTCCCCCTTTTTCAGATGACAATGTAGGTTTATGTGGGCAGGGGAACATTAAAATTTTCTGTGATCTAGTAACTGAACTAGAAAGCTGACTTAAGGTGGGCTTACCTTGCCTGCAAACTGCAACAGAACTGAAACTTGACTGTGGGGCTCCCTATAAATCAGGTGCTTCCCACCAAAAGTAGGAGGTTGCAGGTCTATTTTTATTTCCTTCAGCAATTTATGGTGGCAGTTTTCATGAGGGCCAGAGTTATAAAGGCAGGGATAACTGAGAAAAGGTATTTATACATGGAAAGTCTGAACCCAAACATGCTCTAACTTTCCACACTATTTCCTGCTGTGTTGTCATGTTCGCTGCTTCCACTGCAATTTTCCTGGAGTGCTATAAATAGAAACCAGCAGTACTTTCATGCAGATGATCTATATGGCCCAAAGGTCTGTTGAGGTCACGTGCTGGTTCCAACATGTTCATTCAGAACTAGAATTGCCAACTTATTCTATTTTCCTCTTTCTTTTTTAACTCAGTTCTTGTTCCTTCAACATCAGTGGGAAACACAGACAGTATGGAGGGTGAAGCTTGTGGAGCAGGCCAAAGGATGGCAAATATATTACAAAGATTAAAAAGGAGGGTTCCCTGTGGGGCATGGCCTTAACAAACAAACGAAGGAACAACGGAAGCCTTAATCAAAATCAACGTGTGAACATGAACCATGAACCGGAGGAGAGCTGCCCAGCCAATTTCCTCCCACTGCAGTGGACGGCCTTCAGCCTTCTTCTGACAAGTGCAGCTGTGCAAAGGCGCCCGTGGCCCTCCCCCACCTGTTGCTGTGGCAACTGTGGTGGGCAGGGAAATTCCCGAGGCCATGTGACCCTGGGCTTCCCCTGAGGCCTCGCCTGCTGATACAACTGCAGAGGCTTTTCTGCCATGATTTCAGCTACCACACATGGAAATTTCTTTAAAGAATTCTGCAGGTTTCTCTGGCATGGCCTCAGGCAGGACTATCCCTAGACCTTTTTGCCCCTCTTGGACAGGAATCCCGGCCCGGCTCCTCTCCCCACCCTCCCCTTTCCCCCTGCCTTCCTGACTGCTCCATGACCTGCTAGTGCCATTTTGCACCTCTTTAGCCTCTATGGAAATCCCCTTTGTACATTCGATGGATGCAGAAGTGGTTTATACTGCACAGTAAAAATGATTCTTTCATTTGAAAGGGCCATTTTCAAGTGCATTCCGATTTTGAAAAGGTTCATTAGCTAACGGGAAATGTCTTGTAAACTGAAGTGCGCCATATCAATGGCATTTTTAAAAAAGGTAGATGGAGATGCATCTTGAAATTATTCTGGAATTATTTTTAAGTGTTGGGGTCAGTCCGAATGAATTCCCCCCTCCTCCCCCCAAAGAGAAATTGGCTTGGAGATCGTGGGTATTAGAAAAGGTTTATTTGTTAGCTTTAGTGCATGCTTAGTGTATCATATTTATAAAGTTGCTTTTGCTTTTCTGCTCTAGATCTGTATACAGTACAGCCTGTTTATATCTCACATAAAATTGCTTTGTACAGCATTTTTGTGTATGATACTTAACTAGGCAGTGATCTATATCTGCCTCACTTGTAGTCATATTTTATTTCTTTTCTGGGTGGTTAAGTATTAGTGGAAACATAGAAACAGCATGAGTCAGAAGGGGTCTCCTGGGCCATCTAGTCTGACCCCTGGCTCCAGCTGGCTCCACTCACGCCATGCCCACCATGTGCATGTCTAGCCTATTCTTGAACACCCTCAGGATTTGAGATGGTAAGCACAGCAAGGATCAATAGCCTTCTTATTAACTGATATGGATGCTTTTTAATTTTGTGGAATTCTCTTCCCACCAAATTTGAGGCCTAGTTTGTACATCCGTATTTTTTGCAGAATGAGCTACTAGCAGAGGTGTTAACAGTCTCGGTGGTGCTAGGCCTGAGACTGTGAGGCCTTGAATCTTTGTCCACAATTTTAAGCTTTAATCTTAGCAGGATTGTATTTGCCTTTTCAACTACTGCCATTAAGCTTCTGAAACAGCAGCTGGGGATCTGCACTGAGCTCAAAAACCACCATGAATTTACAGGAAAACATTTTACCTTTAAACATCTCTGTTCGCTACAAAATACATGCTTGATTGGCTGGAAGCAGTAAACTAATTTGCTGTGTAAAGTGTGTATTGGCCTATGAAAAGGAATGTATGTGCAAAACTCTCCAGGAAGATGCATAACTACTGTATTGTATACAAATGCAAGTCTGATATCATTTTTCAGTTAGTGTGTTAGTTGACTGTTCCAGGAATTAAATACAAACAAGCAGCTAAGGATTCCACGTTATTGTAGCTTGGTAGGATTAGACACTGCACCCTAGAGTAATGTCTCATTTCCCCTTCAGGTTGCTGCATTTGGCGATCATTCACTGTGTACCCTCTATAGCACTCAACTTCATTGCCATATTGCCTGTTGAGCTTTTGGAGATCCAGAACAACTTATTCCAGGTTTGTACAGGAGGATGCAGGGGAGGGTTAGGTGATTCTGAGAGAAGGAAACATGCTGGGTCTGAGAATCCAAGGCATTCCTTTGCAGCAGGCTGGTAGCAAGACATATGTGCCTCCGATTCCCTAAACACACTACCTACATACAATATTTTTCACTATATAAGACGTGCCTGACCATACGACACACCTAATTTTAGAGGAGGAAAACAAAAAAATATTCTTAATCAAATGGGCACATAGTCACAGGCACATTCCCCATCACTTCCCCATGGGCTGCACGTCTGACAGACTTACTGCACACACATATTTGCTCTATAAGATGCACAGACATTTCCCCTTACTTTTGAGGGGGAAAAAAGTGCGTCTTATAGAGCAAAAAATACGGTACTTGGCGCAGCGTTCACTTTGTTCCTTGTGTCATGGAGTTCTTAGCTTTCTTGCTGTCAGTGGTCTCAGTCCAGCTTTAGTCCTGTGAAACATCTTGTGGCCTCAACTGGGAATACACATTACCATCTAGATCATAAGAGTAATCCTGCTAGTTTGATGGAGTCCAGTTGAGCATATGAGCATATTTTTAATGTATCAAGAAAGAGCATAGAAATCTACTTTCACATGTGGACTTCATGAAATCAGTAACAGAACATGCAAACTGCTTACTTAACTGGAAAACTTTTTATTTATGTGGATTTAATTTATTGTTGTAAGCCGCCCTGAGGCTTCGGTGAATGGGGTGGCATAAAAATGTTTTAATTAATTAATTAATTAATAAAACTAGAACCCACTCCTTATCTTAGTCCAAGGCCACATTAAAAAAGCAGTAATCCAAATTCTGCAACCTGTATGAATCACAGGCTTGCACAGCTGCTTATTTTGAATAACTTTTTGTGGCTTCTGCTAGTCCTGTGAAGGGACAAAGAACTGTGCAGAGTACTGATGTCTCCTGACAACTGGAAATTCTACTATGCCTCCCACCTCTGGATTCATTAGGTATCACTAATCAGCTCATCTGTTCTCAGGAGGAAGCTTTCAGGGTGCTAAATTCTTTATCCATCATTTGATTCTGCATTTTTGTGGTGGAATTGCAGCACATAATCAGTTCTGCTTCAGTCGCTATCTTTTCTTTCTCCTCCAGCCTCACTCAGTCTGTGTCATTCTCTCTGCCGTTACAGACTCCACTTCACTTGTCTGTATACCTGGAACAGTCCAGAGTGGTGCAAGCACTAGTCCTGAAGGGGGTGAATACAGCACTGCAAGACCGCAATGGAAACACCCCACTGCACTTGGCCTGTGAGCAACAGAACCTAGAGTGTGTCCAGCTGCTGCTGCTGCAGGACCCAATCTTTAACAAGCATTTGGAAACTAGAAAGAACCTTCAGGATCTGCAACTGCAGAACTGGCAAGGTGAGAAGGAGTAAGAACTGCATCTGGAGAGTGTCTAGGTCAGTGCTCACCTGCTTTGCCTTGTAGTAACTTCCTGACTTGTTGCCTTCTCTAGGTTTATCTTGCCTACACATCAGCACCATGAAAGGAAACCTGCAACTGATGGCATTGCTGGTGAAGACTGGAGCTAACATTAATGTTCAGGTATGTCAAGGGCAGCTGGCAGAGCTCCACATCCTGTATATGTCAGAGCCACCTAAGTTCTCTACTATATGATGGAACCATCACGCAAGAAGGACATCTGGTACTGAGTTCAGAATTCAGCATGTTGTAAAACTTCATCATTTATTTCTGGAAAAGAATATGGCTATTATGGCAGTAAAGAGTAATACTGAAAGTGTGTAGGCAGCACCTCCTGAAGTCTTACAAGAAGGGGAGAAGAAGTTAAGGAGTTAAGGAGCTGGGGCTTTAAATGTCTCCTAGCCTTTCACTCACATAGAGTAAGCTAAGAAGCAGAAAACATGTATGCATACTAAACAAATGCCTGCAACATTAGTTGATCTCTCTAATTTGTTCCATGATGTAAAGCTTTTTTTTTAGATGAAATTTCAGTTACTTAGGGCTTATTTATATGGCCCTACATATATCCCATTAAACTGCTATGCTGAAATTATTGCCACCTTCCAGGTCACTGTATGTTGTCTGCAGCTCTAGGGATGGAACTTTCATTGCGATTGTCATTAGAACAGTAACTGAGAGAACTGGAAATGATCAGCCTTGAGAAGAGAAGATTGAGAGGGGATATGGTGGCGCTCTCCAAGTACCTCAAAGGCTGTCACAAAGAGGAAGGAAAAGATCTCTTTTCACTCATCCTTGAGTGTAGGACACGGAACAACAAATTTAAACCATAGCAGACTAGATTCAGGCCAAACACCAAGTAACTTCCTAACTGTCAAAGAAATACAACAGTGGAAACAGTTGCCAAGAGAAGTGGTGGGCTCTCCCACACTAGAGACATTCAAGATGAAACTGGACAGGCATCTGAGTGGGATGGTGTAACTTGGTGTCCTGCCCCAGCAGGAGGTTGGACCCAGTGGCCTAGTTGGCCCCTTCAACTCTACTGTTCTATGAATCTATGAACTCTGGTGCCTAGATTTATAGCTTTAAGCAGCTTGCTGAAAGCCCTCAAATGCTGAAATGTCCAGAAAGAGCTGCCTTTTTCGAATTAGGTGTGGAACTTGTTTTTACTGGTGTTTCATTTTGGGGAGAAGTTTAGGAGCACTGCACTTCCATGCTGGCTCTCCTAAGTTCCAAACACCCATGGGGTGTTACATTCTTTTGGGCTTCTGCTTCAGGGGCTTACTGAAGATCTGTTTTCCTGCTCTCTTGGTCCCAGGATGGCACAAGTGGAAAGACACCCTTGCACTTGGCAGTGGAAAACCATGATGAGATGGCTGTGAAACATCTTCTGCGAATGGGGGCCCAGGTGGATGCCCAGATGTACAATGGTTGTACCCCACTGCACCTGGCTGTAGGCAGGAAAGATGCTGCCATTGCGGCCATCCTCTGCCATTCAGGGGCAGACACCTTGTTGCGGAATATGGAGGATGAGACGGCCCAAGACCTGGCTGATGACGACGATGATGTGAGAACCTTTCTGTGTGTGGCTTCTCTAGAGCAGGGGCTTGTAGGAGGGAGTCAGCAGCCTCAGCGTTAGAAACAAGGCAGGGGTGCAGGCTCTGTGGAGTAGGGCTCCGGAAAGTTTTGGCTCCTGGCAGAAGGTGCTCCCTGCATAGGGCCTGAAATTCTGGCAGTGAGCGCTTGTAATTGCCTCTCTTTCCATGACACCCTTCATACCTGTGATTTGCCAATGCCAGCTCAGATGAATTTGATGTTTATCTTTAAAGCCATACAGAAGGGAGGAGCTGCTAAACTGGCTTGTCTGCCTCTGTGTCACCACCACCAGCACTGTGGCACTATTGCAGCTTCTTTAATAGAGAGTGATTGGAGATGGCAGGGCAGACAGACTGCAACTGTTCTGTTGTACTTGAGTACTTCAGCAGCTAATGGCCTTCTTTGCTTAGGGAGGTTGGGATCTAAGCAAACCTAGAGCTACATGTAATCAGGGTGAAGCAGCATCACTTGTTCAGATGGCTAGTCTGTACTTTCGTTCTTTACGAACACATAGCCAATGGGCGGAAACAGGACTAAGGCAGCCTCCTTAGCTTGTCTCTGCAAAATGTCCAGACAAGCAGATAAAGGAACAGGTTCCTTTCCTCCTATTCTGGAGGAAGAGCAGAATGCAAATAGATTGTGACCAGCATGTTTTTATGATTCACATGTGTGATGAAATGATATCCTCTATAAGCTGGAGGGAGTTACTAGGCTATGCTATGCAGAGAGTAGTTGAAGAAAACTAGAGAATTCCTAGCTGTCTGTATCACATTAACAGCCAGGAGCACAGAAAACCAAATCTGTAAAGTATCTACATGGTGAATCCAGGTGTGAAGGCTTTGGAATATATACAAAGATACTTGTACCATGTCAACTTTTTTCCTTGTATCTGTTTATTCCACGTGCACTTGTAAGGCTCATGGTAGTTTGGCTGTAGATCCCATGTTGTCAGAAAGCTTATACAGTGGTACCTTGGCTCACAAACTTAATCTGTTCCAGGACTCTGGTCGTGACCCAGATTGGTTGTGAGCCAAGTTAAATTTCCCCATAATGTTCAATGTAAATTAGGTTAATCCATTCTGTAACCATTTTTTCAATCAGAAAAATGTGAAGAGAAGTGACAAAGAACAACAAAGATCACGGCCGTCTCCCCACCACCACCCCGAGCACAAGTGCAGTCATCTCCCTGCCACCCCCCCCAGCATGACCGAGAACACACCTGTCATCCCTGCACGCGCCCATCATCCCGGTGTGCGGGGGGGGGTAGACAGGCGCACTGGGGGAAAGAGAGATGGGTGTGAACGAGGCATGCTGGGGGAGGGAGACAGGTGCAAATGGGGCGCACTGGGGGAGGGAGAGACGGGCACGATCTTGGCCATCTCCCCCCCCCACCCTCAGCTTGATCGCAACCATCTCCCCACTCAGGGAGGGGGAGATGACCGCGATCGTGGTGGTTGGGTGGGGGGAGATGGCCAAGATTGTGCCCGTCTTTCCTGCAGGAGTGCGCCCATGATCATGCACGTCTTCCCTGCACAAACGCAGCTGCAGTCATGGCCATCTCCCCACTCGGGAGGGGGGAGGGAGATGGCTGCGATTTTGGTTGCCACCCAATGCGGAGTTCGTGACCCAAGTCAAAATTTTCATGAAATTTTTGTTCGTGACCCGATTTGGTTGTGAACCAAGGCATTCATGAGCCAAGGTACCACTGTATCAGGGTGGGGAACCTCTTCCATTCTGAAAGCCCAATTTCAGAGAAATTCACAGTGAACACAGCTGAAGGACAAAGGGGCAAGTCCCCAAATACCTTCATGTTTTACTGCCCATAACTAGCCTTAGGAGGGGCATTTTAACCTTTTAGGAGGAGGAAAAACCATACAAAAACCTGGAAACCAGCAAATGATTATTGGTTGGGAAGAGGGAATGTGGCAGTCTGAGGAACCACAGAGGACCAGACTTGATTCCTGGCCCTGAGATTCCCCACCCCTGCCCTATATGTTTTCAGAAATCATCTTCCTGCATATGAGCCTATAATGTGGAGTTGAACAGGAGAGAAAGCCTTCTCTGGCATGATATCTGTTCTACTAGATAGCAGTGGTCTTGGGAAACATGTGGTCTGTCCTGTGCACTATATTTTAGTCAGGCATTGAAGCTGTAATATGAATTCCTTGGCAGGTTCCCAGCTCAAATGCTAACCCTGTTGTCATTTCTTCTTCTTTTGCCTTGACAGATTCTTACCCTTTTGCCTTTTGATGACCTGAAGATCTCAGGAAAACCTGTGGTGTGCTCCAGCTGAGCATCCTAAGACTTGAATTGGCTAGTTTAGCTTTGGGAGATGGACCAAAATGCCTCTGCTTCTGGTTGACAGGTGCAGAACTGACTGCAACTAAATCATTTCCCCCATTGTAAAGTGAGCCTTTGTGCTTGTTCAGACACTTTTGATGGTGTGCAAGACTGTGGGAGCTATTGCAGGAGGGCAACTTGTATGTTGATTTTCATGGCTGGATGGTAACATGGAATTGCCTCCTTTTGGAGAGACTGAGCTCACAAAGGCGGGGCCTATGCTTACTCTCCCAGCTTTGTCTAAAACAGAAGAAGATGACTTTGTTTTTTCCAGACTACACTGTGACTAGAGACAGTGTATTAGCCCACATTCTTTTTCCTCCGCTCCCTCCTCCTCCTCCCACAAGTCTGTGCTAGGGGGTTTTCTGCCTCCAGTCTGCTAGAGTGATTTCTATTTTAAAGATGTTTTCTTTCCACACAGACCATTTCCTGATCTGCCTGCAGTTGCTCAGACTTTGTACACTTCATTCAGTAGCCCCTCCAGGCTGCCTTGTCACACCGGGTTTTGCGGTATCCAGATGCAAAATTGCCCCACTTCTTACTTTTGCTCTACCTGTTGCCTCCCATGGAGTATAAACCTTGCAAAGGAGTCAGTTGGACCAGAATGTGTCTTTAAAGCCACACAGCTGCCTCTTGGTTAAACAGAACTTGCAGGTGATGCTCATGGGGACAAATGCAATCTCAGTTGCCTTTGCCTCAGAATAACTGCTGTTCTTGAGACCAAACTAAGGGCATCTCTGCTCTTTTTTCAGCTTTGTTCTGATTGGGCAGTTGTTACTACCAGTTGGGGAAGTGTTAATTTATTTAACTGTTCTGCTGTAAATATCATTTAAGAGCACAGTTTTAAGCTGGCAGCACAGGTCTGTCTGAGGGAAGCATGATATTTACATGCTCCCATGAATAGCTGCTGTGCAGTTGGACTTTCAAAGGGGAAGTGTGCAAGAGGAGCAAAATCTTTTTAACTTTTCACAAGTCTAGAGAGCCAAGTTTAAAATGTGCTGCCACAAGGCAGCTGTAGGTGGCAGCACACTCAAAATGTGGGAAAGAGCAAAGACGCCTGGACACTCATTGGATGAGGCCAATAGATTCCATCTTAAATTCAGCACTGTAAAATGCCAGGAAATTAGGAAGTAGAGAACAGTTCTAGTGCTTGGTGCAGCATCTCCCCTGGGGGGCGATAAAAGCTGGGAAAGTGGCCCCTGACAAAAGTCTTCCCACACTTCTGCTGCAAAGCTTATATTCCAGAAAAAAACAACCATGTGCAAGCTGGGACACCGATAAGATCTTGATAAAGAGGAACAAACCCCAACATCTTTCTGCTCCTCCTTGCTTCACAAGTTGTTCTTTGTTTGAGTGGTGAAATTAATGATCCTGAGCCTTGATGTTTGCAACAGTGTTTCTAAAGATTGAGGGGACTCTGGATTCTTGTGTGTGTGCATGCATGTACATGCGCAGTAACTTTCTGCTTTTGATGGTTGTTCTGTTCTCCACAAGCACTCTCCACATGCTTGCCGAGGCTGGTGAGAGAAGCGTTTGTGTCATCAAGCGGCAGGCATAGGCGCTGCTGATATGCAGCCTTTACTCTACCGGGGAAATTCCCAGCTCCCTCCCTCCTACTCTTTGTTGCTATGGAGTGGATGTTCAGAATGTGGCAAGTCCTGGATGACACAATCAGCTGGGATGTTCTTGGGAGAGGTTTTCCTCTTCCTTCCCTATTTTTTAGAAGACAGAATTCCAAGCTGCAACAATTTCATGTAATAAAAGTTTTTCACCAAACGTCTTGATTTTTGTATCTTGTTTTGCTTTGAGACCCTTGCTTCCTCTTCTTCCTCCCCTCCCCTTCCCCCAGCCTGTCTTGTTTCATTTTTAGAATTTAATGTTGTTTCCCAATAACAAACAGGAAGAATTTTCTACTGTTGTAACTGGTATGGCATGGATTGGACTAGATACTTCCACTCCATAGCAGTTAATGCCATCATTATTCAGTACGTGGGGGAGGGGGGAAGTCTTCAGTTGGAATAAGCGAGCAGGTGTGCAGATCCTGTTTGAGAGACCCAGGATGTGTGGTGTACAGCATGCCCCTGTAAACCAGTTGCTAGGGAGCACAAACTGGGGGGTGTACTTGTGCTCATGTCACAAGCAGGTCATCTGGCTGGACACTGTTGGAGAGGAAAGTTGGATCAGGTATGTCTTCCTTCTGATCTAGCATAGGTGGTCTTAGGCTCCCATGAATAGCTGCTGTGCAGTTGGACTTTCAAAGGGGAAGTGTGCAAGAGGAGCAAAATCTTTTTAACTTTTCACAAGTCTAGAGAGCTAAGTTTAAAATGTGCTGCCACCTACAGCTCATAGCTGCAGCTTCCCCTATCAAAGCCATGCTACTGCATGATTAACTCAGGCAAAATCTACAGGAGTTGACTGTTCTGCTGCCATTATTAGTCATTAACACCTTGTGAGGATGGAGCAGGCAGAATTAGCATACTTGGGTCACTCAAGGCCCCCGGTCCTGCTGTAATGGCCAGCACTTTGGGGACTAGCGTCCTGGCTTCTGACCTCCATATGGACTTGTAGGTTCTGAGCTGGTACTTTGTCAAGTATTTCTGCAGAAGTGAACAGTTTCTGTGTACTTTGGGGTATCAATTACCCCAGTGTAAATTATGGTTCATTGTGCAAATTCCTTTCATATTTACATGAAAGGGATCGTGTTTAGTGACGTCATGTGTGGGTGTTGTACAGCAGAGATAGGCAGGAGCTAGCTAGGCAAGCACTGGTGAATCTCAGTGATTTTCAGTAAAACAGGTTTTTGGCTCCCAGTAAAATCAGCTACAAAGCTCCCCACACACCCACTAGGTTGCAGCAAAAAAGACTGAGGGTAGGTTAGGGTTACAGACCAGACATTTTGTGTCTGTGCTGAAAGGGCTTACAGTCTTGATTCTGCTACAGGCCACAAATTCCTGGTTTGAACTTGTACATAGAGGCTTCCTGTTCCTTAATTTTTACTGTGGGATTTGGCAGTGTGTGGCCCTCCAGATGTTTTGGCTTATAATACATCAGTCCAATCCTCACCATTGGCTCTGTTGTCTAGAGCTAATGGAAATGGTATGCCAAAACAAGTTGCCCATTCTTGGATGCCTCCTCACTTGTGCCTTATTTTGTGTATGAGCTCTAGTTGGTGGACCTCATGTTCTGGTAAAAACCCAACGTTGATCCAAAGCTGATGCCTGCCTGCCCCATTGTAGAATGTCCTCCTTGCTCAGCTTTCTAAAGAGTCTTCCTTTCTGTTCTGAAACCCTTGGAAATGATGGAGTGTGCTCTATTCCACAGCTTTGTGAGAAAATAATTCAGGAGTTTAAATGTCTGTGCTGATTTCTTTTGTTTTTTATTCATTGAATGTTGTTTTATTTCAAAATAAACTTGACAAAATAAAGGCAAGAAAAGAATATGCCAGCAGCAGCAACAGCATAGTAGTAGTAGTAGTAACATAGCAAAATCACTAAAGAAACAAAATAACTTTTTATCATTCTTAGTCTATCACCCAGAATGTTTGTAGAATAGAAATGCCATTTGTACATTATATAAGTCCTAATATCATTGTATTTTGGAAGCCAGTCTCCTTTACAGCAGCAAATTAGTACACAGTTTAGATGGAATCTAAATCTTTCATTTAGAGCAACTCTATGATGGCACATGGCACTGACAACTCCCCCCACTTTTTGTGTAGAACAGAGCTGGTCTCTTATTCAGCAGCATAATTCCATTGGACACAATGGATATTTTACTTTAGAACAACTCAGCTCCAGCAAAGAGGCACTCCAGCTCCCTTGATGTTGCTATGATTAAGCTACCCAGCATTATGTCTTCTTTAAAAGCTAAACGCACTAGATTATAAATGTGCTGAAACAGACACTATATGACATACTATGAAGCTTTGGAATTCTAGAAAAAGGGTCCACATTACCAAAAAACAAAATAGAACCAGTGGCAATCCACAGCACATTCCACCATTAATCACTAGAACTGCCTAATCAGAACATGTTACTGAATAATTTAACCCCAGAATTCTTGACAAGTTCAACTTCTTGTTATAGGAATAAAAAAGAAACAGACTGTGAATGTTAAATGGGATGGTGGGCGGCAGAAGCAACCCCAACCGTGGAGAAATTCCCCTGTTAACATTTGAAAGTCACTGGGGCAAACCTGAAGATTTGATTCCATGCAGTAGGAGCATTTCATATCATGTGACAACATTGGCAGTTACATGCATGACCTCTAGTCACTGGGGGAACTTCCTTTCTCTCCACCAGAGATGCATGAATTGTAGTGCCACTACCTTATTCCAGATGTTTAGACTTGAATGCAATTCCCAAGAGTATACCCATTTCTCTCAGACGTAGCTTCAGAAGCAGCCCACATATTTTCATTTTCTTTCACATTCTTTACAGGCTGAGAGCGCACACACATCACCCTTCAGCAGAGAGAACAGAAGAGCTGTTGTGTGTTTTGGTCTCACCTATATAGTCAAAGGTAGAAAGGGAAGATGTCCTTTCAGCCACACCCATAGCGGCTTTTGCAGAAGACTGCTTGCAAAAGCACCGATCAGCTGCTGAAATAAGAGGCTGTGGTTAGATAGGTTATGTTCTGATACTGGGGCCAGTGCAACACTGCCTCTCTCTGCTTATTACATCAGAGCTGGAGAAGGCCCACAGAGTTCATTGAATAACTTGCAGGTTTGCAACAATGGAGAACTACTAATTTATCAGCCTAGCACTGTACAGTCTCCCCACTGGAAGGCACAGGAGCAACTGAGTTAAGCCACATATTACACAGAAGCCTTTGGATCTGTGTTAAAACTGCTTTGCCTTTGAAGAACACAGCACTGTGTGTGAAGCGAAAGTCATCCACTGCAGCCGTTACCATAGGGTAGCTCTTTGCTTGGAAAACTAATTCAACCTGAACCCTTAGGGTTTGGATCATTTTCAGGATTCTGATTTTTAGAAATTACTTTCTGCTTTTCCTGTGATGCTTTAGTCACAGTGTATCTTAAAGCCTCAGGAAGTGCAGCCAGTCCAGACAGTGGCCAGTATGGCAAAGATGAGAGAGCTGTCCAGAAGAAAAAGAAAAGCATCTCCAACATTCAACAGAAAATTAAGCTGCCCATCTGGATACTGTTCCCTTCCAACTGTGGCCAGTCAGGTATTTCCTGGAAGTCTACAAGAAAACCAGGAGCTGATTTCAGAAATACACGGCAACCAAAGAGGCTCAGCCTGGTATCCTGGATAATAGCCACCAACAGAAGCTATCCTCCATGATGTTTTCTAAATTCTAAAAACTCATTTTTTTCTTCTAATTGTTAAAGGAATTTTCCTAAACCAAGTGTGCTAATTTCTTATGAGAAAACTACCCTTTTCCCATGGCCCCTCCAAATTATTATTCTCCATATAGTGCAGAAAACATGTTACTGCAATCAGATAGGCCACCTGATCCCAAACTGGGTTTCTCTGGGTATATTGAACTAGAATTCATAGGAAGAAAGGAGCCTGCTTTAAACTGAGCAAGACTTTGGGTTCACCTAGGCCAGTAATATTGACACTGACTGGCAGCAATGGCTCTCTGGGGTTGCAGGCAAGAATTTTTCAGTCCTAAGATGGAGATTATGGGGCTTGAACTTGGAATATTTTGCATACTAAGCATGTAACAGGCCCTTCCGATGAACACCCCTCATCCTTGCTAATACCCATGCTAGCTGGGGCTGATGGGAATTGTAGTCTGAGAAATCTTGGAGGAGCATATTTGTGAAAGGCTACATAAACTGAACCAATAGTGTTGGAATTTTGAACCTCTCAAAGTCTAGTTCCCAGGTTCCCAGGGCTGTATTGTCATCTCACAGAAATGTGGTAAATAAACTCAATTATCAAATTCAGATTATGCACAGGCCACCAACTTTTCCACATAGCTGGAAAGGGAAGTGACAAAAGGTCATGCAATGTTGCAACCCTTTTGGGGGATGGAGAAAAACAGTTGCCTTCCCTTTGGTATACTAAGAGACAATAAGCAGAACCAGCATGAGGAGGCCCTACCCTTAGCAATGGGTGGCCTGGAATTTGTTATTGGATCCTGATATAGGACAAAGCTGCTGCAAACGGTGAGCTCCAGTGTCCTTTGGAGGAAGAACCTAAGGCAGAACAATTAATATAAACAATATAATACTTATTCTTCAAAATAATGTGATTGCCTATTATGCTCTTTTGAATAACAGAAATGTTAAATTTAAAATAAATGGGGGTTGAGCCTGTTCTTCCTTGTCCTACAATCTGGGATAATAGAGAAGAGATCCCGGCCCTCTGTGTGACAACCGAACTCAAGTACTTGAAGAGTTTCATCGTATCTCCTTTCAGTCTTCTCGAGGCTAAATATGCCCAATTCTGTCAATCTCTCCTCATAGGATTTTGTTCCCAGCCCCCAGATCAATCTTGTTGCCCTCTTCTGAACCCTTTCCAGCTTGTCTGCATCTAGTTTAAACTGTGGTGCCCAGAACTGGATGCAGTGTTCCAGATGAAGCCTATCCAGTGCTGAGTAAAGGGCGCTGAATGTCACACAATTTGAAAATGATATTCCTGTTAATGCAGCCCAAAATAGCATTTGCCCTTTTTGCAGCCGCATCACATCGTTGACTCATATTCAGCTTGTGATCTACAACAATCTGAAGATGCATCTCACTTGCCATATTGGTATACCAAGCATGATGCTTGTCGTTTCTTTTTCCCAGGTGCAGAGCTTGGCATTTGTCCCTGTTAAATTTCATTCTGTTGTTTTCAGCCCAGTGTTCCAACCTGTTTCCCAGGGTATTAGCTATTCCACCCAATTTTGTGTTATCTGCAGATCTGATAATTGTTCCCTGCACTTACTCATCCAAGTAATAAAAAAGTTGAACACTGAGCACAAGACTGAACCATGAAGTATCATTATCAGTTTGAGAAGGTGCCATTGAAGAGCACTCTTTGAGTCTGATTCTGTAGCCAACTGTGGATCCACCTGATCATTGTTTCATCTAGTCCACTTTTAGCCATATAGTTAATTGGATACCATGGAACACCCAGGTAAAGTACCCAGTCAGATTAAAACACAGTTCTTCTGGCCATGTATAGAGATTCAGCCCTTTGAAAACTGTGGGCTGGAAGTTGGATTTCCAAGAGTGGCTCATAGTGATGGATTCCAAGTTATCCTGACACCCTCCAGATGTTTTTGAGTATGACCCCCATCATCTCCAATTACTGGAAATTGTGGGAGTGATGGAAGTTGTAGTCAATCATTTAGGAGGTACCGCATTGGGTGGGGCTTCTCCAGAACATAGTCAAGGCAACCTGTAGACCTCTTCAGAAATCCCTCCTACATTAAGCAATGTAGGCACAATTCTGTGCATGCTTAGGCAGATAAAAGTCCTACAACTCTTAGCACTGTGGGAGTTATAGGCCTTTTTCTGTCGAAGTATATGCATCAATGCACAGTAACTCCTAAAAAGTGAGATGTTTGGGTTGTAGCTTGCTTTTTCTTTCCCTTTATCTCAAGCATATGGAGGAAAAGCTCTGAGGTACTCTGTTCATGCTCAGAGACACTGCTCATTATCCCGTGTACTTTAGAGGACATTTTCAAGAATGAATGTTGCCTTTGCATTCCAAGTTCTTACATTCTGGGCTTGGAGTTTAGGTAACACCTTCCCTGTGGAACCCTCCTCCAGCAGGCCCAGTATCTTTCTCGCCCACTTCCCGCCGGCCTTACCGGCTTTCCCCAGACACCGGCGGAAACTTGCGGGCTTTGTCATCTCGCCCAGGCCCCCCAGCCTACCTTTCAGAGCCTGTTGCTTGCGGCCTCCGGCCCGGCAGGGGGCGCTGTGGGTGGCCTGAAGCACCAGTTTGGCCGGGCGAGCGGCCGGTTCCTGGTCCCGTGGCGCCTGGAGGGAGGCGCGGCCGGGTTCGAGCGAGCGCAGCGGCCCGGCCGGCACCATGGGCTGCAGGTGGGCTCCTCCGGGCGCGGTGGCGGGTGAAAAAGCTGCCGGCCTTGGGCCGGGTCCCGTGAGAGGGCGAGGGAGTAGGGCGGCGACAGAGTGCACCGGCGCTTGTGGAGCGCTGGTCTGGCCGGCGCTGCGGGGCAGGCCAGGGGCAGGGGCGGGCAGCGCGGTCGCCGACGAGGCTTCGGTGCCGCGGACCGAACGGAAATCGCAGGGTAACTCCAGGGGAGGGTACCGGTTCCCATTCGCAAGCCCTCCCTCGGGAAGAAAAACGAATTGCTGTCCCTTTCCTAATCCAGGATGCTGGATCCAGGATGTTGAGGGGTCCTATGTCTGAATCATGTTTCGAGACTATCTAGCTGCATAGTAACTGGTGGCAGATAATCTGGTTCTAGATATGAGCTACATGTGTGGGAGATTATAATATCTGTGCTATCCTTTCCCAACCTCGTGCCCTTTAGGTGTTTTGGACTGCAGCTCGCATAATCTCCCTATTTGGTCTTGCTAGTTGGGGCTAATGGGAGATGTAGTCTAGCACATCTGGAAAACACCAGGTTGGGGAGGGCTGGGCTGTATATAGTGTGCAAACTGTTTTCAGTTGCAATGCTAAACCCCTGCTTACTTGGGAGTAATTCTCCTGATTGGCATATTAGTAACAACATGCATGTTTTCTTATATGAACTCATGACAGCCAAGTTAAGTAGGTTACTGTTTGTTGCATTTTTTTCTTTTTCAGATTGAGTAGCTGGATGTTTAAAAATAATGGTCTGTCCAAGGCCACCAAATCTATTTCATGGCAAGGTGGCATTGGTATTAATGTCTTCTCCTATTCTGGTAGACTAAAAGTGTTATCCTATGTATATTTAGGCAGAGTGACTGGCTGGAAGGATGCCGGAAGATGTAGGAGTTTTTTCTGTCTAAATATGCATAGGATTGCACCCAAAATGCAATAGCAGACTTAAATCCTACACTTACATGGAAGTAAACCCTATGGAACATCAGTGAGATTTACTGAGTAGACACAGGATTGCATTGGGAAAGTAAATTAATTAATTTGAAGTAATTTTTGTTCTATTTCTCAATGGTGTTTTAATGAGGATCAATTATTCTTTGATGCTTTATATCTTGCTTTATATCTCACAGTACATGCTAAAAGCATAGTTGGTGCTTTATCCAATCACTCATAGAATGGGGCTTCTGAACCCCATTAGCAATTTTGAGTACGAAATTTGGTGTGAGAGTTATTACATAACTGTGAATTTAGAGTATAAGGATTCATTTTTACAGATGTGACAATGAATAGACAAAAGCATTGCAGATCTTCTAGGTGAACATGCATCAAAGTAGTGAGGAAGGTCTTTTGAAACTTTTGGATGAGCTCAGGTGTACAAAAGGAGGTTAAAGTACATGGGCAATGCCTGACCATGAAATCTTATACATGTTTTTTGAATACAAAATCTCATTTTTTTCATTTTTTCAAACAAACATTCACAGGATCATAGCCTAAATATTTAATCTAATTTGTACTCCTGACAAACCTGTGAAATTTATCAGAGTCCAATTTGACCAAAGCCAATCATGGAAGGGATTTGAATCCAGGACTCTTAGATCAAAGACTGCAGTTTGGCTGCTTGGGCCAGGCTATCTCTTATCATAACATTAGATAATCTTAAATATACGTATCTGCAACAAACAACAACAATACTCCATTTATAAATTTAAATCTGGTCAGCTAGGCCTTGGAATTTTTCAGGAAAGGGAACACAGCAAACTTTACTGCCAAGCATTCATTCAGTTTGCAGGGCAGGACACTCCTGATCACTGACAACTACACACATGATCCATGAATTAGATTTTTTAAAGGTATAAATACCTTGCATTTCCTGTAGAAACGAACAACAAAAAGCAGCTCAGTAATCTTTCAGGACAGTTGTTCCCATTGATCATGAGTTATTATTGGACCTGTTAGGTAGATTGTCAGATCCATGGTGGAAGTAGTGTTTACTCTATTGTAGCCATGACTGAATCTGTATCAGCAACATGGACTATTGTATGCATGGCTTCTGCCTCATTAACCAGAAGTGAAAATTGTATTCACAGCTGAAGAGTGCATGCATTATGGCAGAAAATTGTGGGTTAATTCAGTAGAATAAAACCCATAGAGGGTTAAATGCAGTTCCTGGTGTATTCACTGGGAGGACCATCCTTCCAATGGGCCAGCAAGAGGCATGATATCATTTAGCCTGCAGAAGATGGGGTGGGGGCTTATCTGGCCCTTCCTCTTATTCTGGCTCCTATTATAAGATGTTAATACTTGTTAAGTAACCCTGACCATGCATTTCAGCGGATGGCAACTTGTAGCACTCAAGTTACAGGTCCCATCAGCCTTAGTCAGCGTACTATATTGTAAGAGAGAATGGGAGCTGTAAACCAGAAAATCTGGAGGGCCAGAAGTCTACTCCTGTTTCTGCCCAGAGACATTTTGGGATTCGAGATCAAAGTTAATGAGGTCGTATGCATAATTGTAGCTGTAGGAAACTGAGTAAAGGGGCAATTGTTTCAAGGATTCTTTTTGTACTCTCTTTTTGTACTTTATTGAGATTAGCATCCAGATTGGTGCATCCCCTTAATTCAGAATCTGATTTTGAGTTGCATGCCAGGCTAAAATTGAAAGGTCTGCCAAAGAACGCATTGTGGCCTCACCCTAGCAGACAGCAGCCTATCTGCAAGGGTGGCAGTTGTATATGTCAAAAGCATGCCTGTCTAATGTGAATGGGAACAGTAGATGTCTATATGAGATCCAACTTCCTGACTGCTTTGTGGGTTTGAAATTATGAAAGCTTCTTTCATGGCTAGAACTGTTGCTGATATTGCTGGTCTGGCAGAAGTGAGAGCACACCTGTAACACTAGCTACCCTGTTTGTCCAAAGGAAAACTGGAAAGAAGGAAACAGTGGAAAAATGCTTCACTGATCGGGGAGCTGTTTAATGTAGAGGGAGAGAGAACTGTTGTTTGACTGTTCTAGACATTTCGCTGGTAGCTAGTAATACTTCCAGCCTGATTCAGCCTGGCTGAAGTTGCTTTCAACCATCTATTGTTGCCACAGTCAAAAGAATTTACTCATGAAAAGACAACAGGTGGGGTTTTCAGGAGCAACTATTTTAGAAAGCCCATTTTAGATGCTAAGTTTATTCTGACAAGAATGATATGGGCCAGTCAAAGGGTATGCTTTTATAGGAAACCTCTTTCTCCTTGATTAAGGGGGAGGGACATGATATAGTCTGAACTACACAAGGAAATGTAGATAGTAGAGCTAGAAATGAGAGCTGTGTTATTAGTGCTCCACTGAGGTGTGGCAAAATTTGTGCTAGAAACAGAATATCCAAGGATTAGTTCAATGATCTCCCCACAAGCAAGCTGCTGCCTTGCCCCGCGCGCCCCCCCTGCCTTGCTGTGCGCATGCGCCCACGTGCGCCCTGCCCTCTCGCCGGCCCGTGCGCTCCCGCCGGCACTGCCTTGGCAGCCCACACCCACCACGGGCACCTTTCAACTGGCCCCCTGTTGAAAAAGTTTGAGGACCCTGATGTAAGGGATTTACTCAAGACTCCACCCCAGCAGGTTTCATGGCAAAGAGTTACCCAGGGGTCCTAAAACTTCTTCACCAGGGGGCCAGTTGTAAGGTGCTGGGTGCGAGCTGGAAAGGTGGTGCTGGTGGGGTGTGTGGGCTGGCGTGGGGATGGCGAGGCGAGGTGGGGGCGGGCACACGCGGTGATGCAGCGACTTGCTCACTTGGAGATTGTTTTCTCCGAGCGAGTCCAAAATGATCTCCTCATGAGCAAGCTGCTGCCTCCCTGCGTGTGGGGCGAGACGGGTGGGTGCAGGTGGAGTGTTGAAAACCTCTGAGGTGGGTTGGATAAATGGCCATGGCGGGCCGGATCCAGCCCCCGGGCCGTAGTTTAAGGACCCATGAGCTAACCCATTTGCCTTGTATCCAAGCCACACAGTGTACTTGTTTAAACTTGAATAATCTTAAGATACCACTTTTGGGAGTTCCTCTCCAGTGTTGTACTGTTGTACAGCATATCACAGATATGGCATCAGCTATAGTTTTGAAGCCACACAGTTCAAGTTTACCAAATAGGGTTTGCAATGTTCCCCAGAATCTGATGGTCTGAGGCATGTTGTTCTTGCTACATAGCTAATATTTTACTTTTGGGGGTATTACTCTGAAAACCTCCACAGTATTATTTATTCAGGCCTTATTGTTTGTTTGTTTAAAGCTTTTCTATGCCATCCCCTACAGAATGTCTCTGGATGGCTTGCAATAAATAAATTGTAATTATTGCAATGTTTTAATTATTGTTTTATTGTATTATTATATTACTGTTTTAACTTTTGTAAGCCGTCTTGAGGCGTGTTTCGCAATGGACGGGATAAAAATGTTTTAAATAAATAAATCTGCCTGAAATAGATGCTTGAAATTTCTTGAAATTTTTATGCAACAAGATGAGGTGATTTTTCTAGCAGTTATTTCTGCAATTTTGATCACGTTTGTCACATCATGAGGCAATAATGCAAGAGGACAGGGCACTGCAACTGACCTTAGAGTGGAAGGAGCCATTTAAACTCCTGTTTGGGATTTATTCAAAACTGTTTTTCTGTGGTTTCGTATCTTGCAAAAAAATCTTGCAATGAGATGTTCCTGTCAATGGTGGTAAAGAGAGAAGCCAAATGAACAGTTGAAGGGGGGTTGGGTTGTAAGTAAGGGAATTCTGCTTTAGAAACTCCTTCAGGCTTTAGTAATGAGTTAGATATTAATGAGGCAGAAATCCTGTGCATGCCTGGAGGTAAGCCCTGTTCAACTTATCAGGTTGGATCCAGATGGGGTTTCTTGCTAGCTACTTTACTAGGCAAAGATTGCTTCTACCAATGGAAATGAGGATGAGGGAGCTGCCTTTTTTCCTATTACCTTTTTATCTCCGCAGCCCTTAGGGCCACCTCCCCAACTTATTCAAAGGGTTCTTCAAGGGTGAGATAAGAATTGACAACCAAGAAAAGACAACCACTTTCTTTGTTATTCCAACAGAATTCCACTGCTAGATTCATGGGATCACAGAATAGTAGGGTTAGAAGGGGCCAAAGGAACACCAGGTCCAATCCTCTGCTCAGTGCAGGACTCCCAAGTTAAACCATCCCTCTCAGATGGTTGTCCAATTGAATCTTGAATGTCTCCCTAGGTAATTGGTCCCATTATCATACTTCTCTAACAGTCAAGAAATTTTTCCTGATTTCTAGCTGGAATTTATCACTATAGGGTGGAATTCATTAGACCCTGGAGATTTGAACTCCTTCTACCCAATAGATGATCCTTGGCCATTTTGAGCTGCCATCCTGTTCCTTCAGTTTGTACTTCCCTTCATCAGGAAGATCCCCCCTCCCCAGAAGACAGCCAATTTGTTATCACTGATTTGTTATCATTTTGTCATCTGCATTGAATAGTTGAACCTGCATTTCTTTCCTCTGTCTTTTACTATGGACATATCTGAAGAAGGCTTTTTGTTGCTTTTAGCATCCCTTGCTAGCTTCAGTTCATTCCTAGCCTTCCTGATGCCATCCCTGTGTCTGTATTCTTCCTTTGTAGACTGTCCTTCCTTCTACTTCCTATATATCTCCTTGTTTGCTTTCAGATCATCCCTAAACTTTTATGAAGCCACATGGGCTTCTTCTGTTGTCTTCTACATTTTTTCCTTGTAGGAATTGTTTGTAATTGTGCCTTTAAAATTTCCTTTTTCAAAAATGTCCACTCATCTTGCACTACCTTTCGCATTAGAATCACTTGCCATGGGACTTTACTTATCATTATTCTGAGTTTATTAAAACTGTCTTTCCTAAAATCTTGGGTACATGTTTGACTACACTTGACTTTTGCTTCCTTTAGAATAAAAAGTTTATTATTTATTTATGTATTTATAAAATTTGTATGCTGTCCATTACTTGCATCTTTGGACGGCTTACAACATAAATCGGAATAAAATGGAAAAATTGACATTCCACGCTGGCTGTAATTAATAAAATACAAACAATAAAATCCAATTACATATTAAAATATTGATTAAATAAAAAGGTCTTAACCTGGCACCGAAAAACATATACTGACAGTGCCAGGTGGACCTCTCTGGGGAATGCATTCCATAGTCGGGTTTCAAGTATGGCATGGTCACTTTCCCCAAGAATTCCTGTAACTGCCAGTTTGTCCACTAGGTATTTCCTGTTGGTTAATATCAAATAAAGGATAGCCATTCCTCTTGTACTTTCCTCCACTTTCCATCAAAGCAAATGATCAGCAACACATGTTAGGAATCTCTTGGTAGGGCCGTGTTTGGCAGAATTTCTCTCCAAACAGATATTAGGGTAATTTAAGCTCACTGTAACTACTGCATCGTGCCTCCTTGAAACATTGGCAACTTGCTTTTCAAAACTTCCATCCTGTCATCTCCTTGGCTGGGTGGTTTCTTTGTGTTCCTTTTATTCCTTGGTCTGTTTATATTAATCCTGATGCTCTTGATGTGACTACTAAGCTTGTTCTTCTGTATTTCTGTATAGAGATACATATCTTTACCATATGGTGTAACTTCACCTCGCTTTCTGTTCCTTCTGTTCTTCTTGAACAGGTTATATTCAATTGTTGAATTCCAGTCATAGGTGTTATCTTACCAAATTTCAGTTATACATATCAGATTGTATTTACCCTTCAGTATTAAGAGTTCAGGTTCATGCTTTTTGTTTCTCATTCTCTGGGCATTAGTATATAGATATCAAAGACCAATGCTTTATACTCTAGCTTTCTTCCTACATTTTTGGGGCAACTATTATTAGACACTGTTAGAGCTGTTCTCTCTGTTGTGGTGCATAAGCCTTTGTTCTTACATCCAGGTATACTTCTCCCTCCCCAGTAGGATTCCTTGTAAAGCCCTTCTGATAAACTTATTTCTGCTGTGGCCAAACATTCTTTCCAGTCCTTGTAAGGTATAACCCATCCGATATCAGCAGTCCATCTTCCAGGAAGTGTAGCCTGTGCTCCCAGAATCCAGATCTCTCATGTTGGCAACACCTTTGTAGCCAGGCATTCACCAGGAGTATTTTTCTTCCCCTGTATTTTCCTCTTCCAAGAACTGGAAGGATTGAAGAGAAAATCATCTGGGCCCCAAAGTTCTGGACTTCAAAGTTCTAAAAGCTTCGAAGTCTGACATGATTTCTTTAAAGCTCTGCTTGGCAATGTCATTTATTCCCACATGTATAAGAAGGAAGGGATACGTGTCATTGGGCATGTGAGCCTTGGCAGTCTTTCAGCTGTATCACTAATCTGTGCTCCAGGGACACAGCATACCTGATGAGCCCACAGGTCTTCCTGACACGCATGTGTTTCCATCCCACGCAGAAGGGAGTCTCCCTCAAATGACACTCCTCTCTTCTTTTCCTTGCAAGACTGGAGGTCTCTTACAGACAGCAGGAGCCCTGCCGTCTGGGAAGCAAATTCTGGATGCAACTCAGTGGGACCTGAGTCTCCTTGGATAGGACAGGGCTGATCAAATAATAATCACCCTGGGTGTGTTTCAGGCATCCATAAATAGTTTCTTACATATTCAAGACTCACTTCATTTGATCCTGAAGTTCTGTAGCATTTGTACTGAAAACCCTGTGTAAAAAGATGTTGCTGTTTTACTGCTGCATTTGCTAGATGCTGGAAGGAGGTGGGGAAGGACATGGTGATGAAAATCTTGTATGCGCTCCATGTTGGCCCCTTTAATTTCACTGGGCCTTCTGTGCTTTCTCTTTGGCTTACTGCCTGCTCTTCTTTTTGGCAGGTTCTGCCTGGCTTTTGTGCTGGCTGCTCTCCCCATAGTGGCTGCTAATGAAGAAGTACTTCTGGTTCACCAGGACTCCTGGGCAGACTTCTGGCTGTTCCGTTTTTTGGTTAATGCTGCAGGTTATGCAAGCATTGTGGTGCCAGGTTTTTTGCTTATACAATACTTCAAGAGGAAGAATTACCTTGAAACAGGTAAGTAGCAGCAATATTGTGGCCTCTTTGGATGTACAGCTGCTTCCTAGTATTGTTGTTGAGGTACCTTACTCTCAGCTTATAGTCTCTTTTTCAGTGCCTCAGCTATTTTATTCTGAGCTTGAAACTCCTCCAGAGCATATATACTGCTAACTTTTAGCTGCAATCCAAAGTATTTCCAGCTCCTCAATTTTATCAGCTTGGCAAGTATGGCACTTGTAAGCATTTCCATTGGAGGAAATTTGGGAAACTGTGAGTGATAGCAAAGTTGACTAGAATTGGACTGCATATGAGGTGGCTGATGTGTTTGGACCAAGCTGGTAATGGTATTGGAAACATTGATGGATGGTTTTGATGGCATAGCTGCTCCCCATCCCTTTTACATATTTCACTCCTTGGCCTAATATTTTTTACCTCTTTCCCTCTGGCTCCTAGGCCGTGGTCTTTGCTTTCCACTGATCAAATCATGTGTGTTTGGTAATGAGGCCAAATCAGTACACCAGGATGAAGTATTGTTGGCAACACGGAATGAGACTGTAGAGTCCTCCACAGCCCGACAGGTTTTTAAGCTGCTATTCTGTGCAACCGGCCTACAGGTAAGGAAAAGGTGTGCTTTTCGCTACCCTCCATCAACTATAATGATACAGAGGGAAAGGCCACAAACTTCTGTGGTTTCAGGAGTTGAGAACTGGTGCTCCACATTGACTGGGCTCACATGGTAAAGTAAGCCACCTGGGCTGCTACGTCCACCACCACAGCCTGGTCCCATGGCTGGGCCAGTTACAGAGAAAAGCTGCATTCTGCTTGACCTTTCCTATAGGAAGCTAAGTAAAATGTGGCTCATCCCATTGTCCCACACAGAGACTAATTGGCTTGTAAATGACTCCTCTTTGCTGACCCAGTCATTTGCCAGGCATGTAGGGATCTCTAGGCTAAATATAAGTCAGTCCAAGTTAAGCATCATGTGAACCTGCCCATTATATGGCTTATTTGGCACTGGTGGCAGGAATGCTAATTCTCATAGCATGTATTGTACAAAGTGCCTAATATATTACCTCATTCATCTTCACAGCTAGACTTCTCATTTGCAGATGGGTAACAGGTACTGGGAACATAGTTCACTCAGGATTTGGTTCATAGTTAAACAAGGCTTTGAGCTTGGTCCGATAGTCTCACCTGCTTAGTCACCAGATAGCAACACTTTCTGTGAGTCAGTGCTATTAATCATGGAGATTTTCACTAAATTAGGACATAACTGAAGTCTTTGAAATTGTATGGTTTGACCATTTACATTACATGGACTGTGGCATTTCACTCAGTCATTTCTCCATTGAGGCCAGAGCACTGAGTGCAGAAGAGAGCTTTCCGATGTTTTAGAAATATGAATAGTTCTGCTCAGTTAATATCCAGTGCCCTGGAAACATATGCCTCCTCCATTTCTATAGAATATAAATAAGAAATATTTTCAGTTAATTAAGCTTTTTGAGCATCTCTCATTCTAAAACTAACTCCTAGCTGCAAGCACCAAGGAAGCTTAGTTTACTGTATTCAGAACTTTGCTTTGCACCTCTTGATTTTTGCTCATGGCTACCTATAGGTGAGATAGGTAGAGTTCAATTCTCTTTCAATGAATTTGCTTCATGGCTCCAGGCAAGTCATGTTACCTTTCTGATCCAAGTCATTTGAAATTTACATGGCAGTATTAATTATACTTGCCATGTTGCTATGCTTGTGGGGATAATTGCTCCTGAATTTTCAAGGACGTTATTTGGAGAACGAATAAGGAAACTGTTCATTCTGTTAACTAAAAGCTAAGTACTCTCTTGGCAGTTGTATTTCTGCTGTGTCTTTTTTCAGGTTCATAAAGCAGCAGCATATTTAACTGCATATTGCGTGGTGGTCATTTCACAAATCATTTGATTGCTACAATTTTAAAATGTAGGTACAGTGTAGATAGTACCCCTACATAGCTTAGTATAGAAACTATTTTAAGTATGTGGAAGGGAGTGCAGAAGGGATCAGGTTCTTGAGGCAGATGAGAATCTTGTCAGGTCTGGCTTCGGTATGTGTATAGTATAGGAAAGTTGGCGTTGTGCCTTTAATGGTCTTGTTTGGGTCTCATTGCTCTCCAAAGAGTGAGTTTAGGGGATGGGCAAGTCATAGCTGGTGGGCTCTATGCAGATCTCACTGACTGTACCTCTCAAACTTGTGGCAGTGGCTTTTTGTGTGTGTGTTGTGGGGGGGGGGAGTATTTATTCATATTCAGTGTTAAATGAATTAAAATCTAAATGTGACTTACTACAGTTTGGTTTGCCATCAGATTTTAGTAGCAACCAGCATATTTTGATACTTTTACCACCACAGAATTCTATGGAGCACGAGCCCAGGGTATGAATTCAGTGTGACTCCAGACCCCTGAAGTTATGGTTCCTCTGACTGAGATAGTCAAGTCACCCTCTTCCTGTTCGTCATGGTGACAGTTGCCTCCCTAATTTCCTTCCTTTCCCCACTCTCGCTTTGTAGATCTCTTACCTGACATGGGGCGTCCTCCAGGAGCGTGTGATGACCAGAACCTATGGAGCAACGGAGTCAGACCCTGGCGAGAAGTTCAAGGATTCTCAGTTCCTGGTCTTCATGAACCGGATTCTAGCTTGCACAGTGGCCGGCCTCTACTGTGCTCTGACCAAGCAGCCCCGTCACGGTGCTCCCATGTACAAGTACTCCTTTGCCTCGCTCTCCAATATTCTCAGCAGCTGGTGTCAGTATGAGGCACTCAAATACATCAGCTTCCCTACCCAGGTGCTGGCCAAAGCCTCCAAGGTGATTCCAGTCATGCTGATGGGCAAGCTGGTGTCACGCAAGAGCTACGAATACTGGGAGTACCTGACAGCAGCACTTATCTCTGTGGGTGTCAGCATGTTCTTGCTGTCCAGTGGTCATGACAAGCACCATTCTACCGTCACCACCTTCTCTGGTGTCGTCCTCCTGATTGGCTACATTGTCTTTGACAGCTTCACATCCAACTGGCAGGATGCCCTCTTCACCTACAAGATGTCCTCAGTGCAAATGATGTTTGGAGTGAATGTCTTTTCGTGCCTCTTCACCGTGGGCTCGCTGCTGGAGCAGGGTGCCTTACTGGAATCAGTGCGCTTTATGGCACGCCATTCTGAGTTTGCGGCTCACGCCGTGCTTTTGTCAGTGTGCTCAGCCTTTGGGCAGCTCTTCATCTTCTATACCATCAATCAGTTTGGAGCAGCGATCTTCACCATCATCATGACTTTGCGCCAAGCCTTTGCCATCCTCCTTTCCTGTCTTATCTATGGCCATGCAGTCACCGTGGTAGGTGGGCTGGGCGTGGCCGTGGTCTTCATAGCACTATTCCTCCGCGTCTATGCTCGCAGTCGTATGAAGAAGAGAGCTAAGAAACCAGCTGTTGGTGAAGGCACAGTGCAAAAGGTTTAGGGGCTGCAAAGTAAGTGCCACTAAACTCCCACCAGACCATAAGCACTTGCTGAATTGTTCTCATAAACCAGCAAGGAGCTGGAAAGGGAGAAATGTTGATATTTCTCTCCCCTGCACCCTGTCGAAACGATTCATCTTAGAAAAATACTGCTGGGATGGGCTTGCAAGACTTGAGGGGTGCTTTCCTTCTGTTGTCTTGTATCTCAGCACTTCTCTGCTAAATAAGACAAAAGAGTTATTGAGATCCCTTTCCCAGTGAAGGAGTGCAGGTGAACCTAATGCCTGCCTTGACTCATGGTATTTTTATGGGAGAATGTCTATTTATAATGAAGGCTTTCTTGGGATTTTTTGCTGCAACTTCCCTTCTGCTTATCATCTGATTCATAAGGGAATAGCAAGAATAAGACTTTTTAAATGCCCAGTGGAAAAAACACTCAAAAACTTCATGAGCTAAGCTAGCAGCTGCTAAAGCTCTAGCCACTTGGTCTCAAAATGGATAATAGCTTTCCTTAAATCATAGTTTCTCATTTTCTGCCTCAGCATGCCCACCTGGTTTGTTTGTTTGGTTTGCCCCACTGTTGAACTTCTCAGACTGTGCGCTACTGTTGAACATTTCAGACTGTGTACCGTTTCCCAGTGTCGTTTGGTTCTTACCCTCAGTTAGCTGTGCATCAGCTATCCTCTGCTCTCACTGCCTTGAACTACATCCCAGAACCCCTTGTGACCAGCGTCAGGGTGCTTTCCTGGGATTTATGGTTGCTGCAAACAGTTTAGAAAAGCACAAATGTTGCCTTTTTGAAACACCTCCCTTTGGAACTATTTCAAGGTTTCTTCCTTCTCTTGGCAATGTGGTATATGAAAGCTTATCCCCGGAGAACAGGGATGGGGAACTGGTGGCCCTCCAAATACTTTGGCCTATAAATCCCTCATCACTATTCCAGGACTGATGAGGAGTTGTAAGCCAAAACATCTTGAAAGCCAGAAGTTGCCCACATCCGTCACAGAAAAAGAATGTGCACCCCAGTCTCCCCCCCACCCCCCAATAGCTTTACTCAGGTTGTTGGGACATACTCTGTTCATGCTGGGAGTCAGCCATGGTGGAAGCAGTGTGCCCAATCTGCCTGGGTTTTCCTTGCAAACTGAGAATGTGTCCTAGAAACTTTGGGGAATGTCAGCGAGAGTTCTGAAGCACACATCTATTTTACAGGGGAAGCCAGCAATACTGGAACCATGGTGGGTGGCCTCTGATGGCCATAGCAATTGCCTGACTTTGCCCTTTGCATTGTAGCCTCTTCTTGGGGCCAGTAGATAACAGCTCTTGAACTGTGTGGGGCAGGAGTGTTCAATTGCTAGAGGCTGAACCTTTTTGTCTTTTTCCACATGCAGCTACTGTCAGACCTGGATGTAGGACTGGAGTTGCTTTTGCCAACTCCACCCAGAAAATCTGGGTGTTACCCATTTCACTTTTATTGCCAAGCTGATACTGGACAGGGGAAATGTTTTGGTACTCTTGGAACATGACTCTTATTTTATTAAATTTAAAATATGCTGCAAAGAAATGGCCAGGGTATGTTTTGTAGCCTCCAACTGTCCTGAGGGAAGGTGTGAATGAGTCTCTTCAGTCTCTGTAATGTTTTGTTCTGCAGATGCAGATGGATTTATGGCAAAATTCCAAGACTTACAGTTCAACACAGTTATTTTGTGTCCTGAAGATCTTGACAAGTGAAAATGCCTCCTAAGCTGAAAAGACATTTGAACAGGGGAGATACGCTAGAAGGGACTGAAGTCTTCATTGTTCACATGGTGGCACTCCAGTGCCCCCGCTAAGCAGGGAGGCAGTGCTACATCATTGCTGGGGAAATGCTGACTTCCTGCATGTAAATAGCAGGTGGGGACAGCAAAAAGCAGTTAGAACTGGAGCCATCCCTTGCCTTTATATGCACGCCTGTTCATACCATCCGTTTGTTCATTTTTTTTCTCTTCTCCCTTTTCCCTTTACCTCCCCCCTCTAGCAATAAGGCTGAGAAACAAGCTCTGATTGGTGCCACTGGGCACCGTAGAATCATAGAATAGTAGAGTTAGAAGGGGCCAAGAAGGCCATTGGGTCCAGCCCCCTGCTGTTGCAGGACAGCATCCCACTCAGATGGCTGTCCAGTTTCTTTTTGAATGTCTCCCGTGTGGGAGAGCCCACCACCTCTCCAGGCAGCTGGTTCCACTGTCATATTGCTCTGACAGTGAGGAAGCTTTTCCTGATGTCTAGCCTGAATCTGGGTTGTTGCAACTTGACTTGATTATTCCATGTCCTGCACTCTGGTATCAGCAAGAAAAGATCTTGACCTTCCTCTTTGTGACAGCCTTTGAGGTACTTACAGAGTCTTGTCAAAGAGGACTATCAGGAGTGAGATCACGATCAAGAGGGGAGAAGTAAGTCTTCTCTCTCCAGTTGTAACCCTCTCTGTTTCAGGCACACAGCAATACGTTTAAAAAGCTTCCATTTATGGCAGTGGAAACTCTTAAAAAAGAGGTTGTAGCACCAGTGTGCAATGATATACATCAGCAAGAAAAAAAGCTGATTAAAAATTGCTAGTGCTAGTTTTTTACATGTATCTCAATCAAAAGTACAAATCTGATCACTAAAACATGTTTATTTACAATTCAGTATTTTCCTACATAACTGATGATGTCATGGCAGCTTTTCTATGTCAAATATGGGAAATACACGAACTGCATGCTGCACCTCTACTGTAATGACTTGTATGAGAGACACTTGGTTCAGCAGTACTACCAGTGAGAAGGATCTTGGAATTGTAGATTGCAAGCCGAATGAGTCAGTAATGTGATATGCCTACAAAAAAGCAAATGCTGTTTTGGGCTGCATTAATAGAAGTAGCATGTTTATGTTAAGATTTATTTGTGACTATGAGAATTCTGATTTTTTAAAACAGTCTGAATCAAATTTTAGAAATCAGTTTAAAAATTAATTTATGCAGCACTTCAAAAAGTTAACCCTTTTTGCCCCTGTAACCTCCAACCTCAGATGTCAAGCTTTTAAACAACTTTCATAGGCTGTATGTGGTAAGAAGGCAAGTAGAGGAAGCCCCAGTTCACATGGACTGCTGGTTCTCCATGCATGTGTTTCCCGTGCCTTTGAGTCAGGAAAGCAAGTGAAGGTAGGAACAAAACCATGACTTCTGTCCCTAAACTATATTTAGCCCTTTTCCTTGACCTCTACAGCCATAGAAGATCTCACCACTGGAAAAGTTGTCTTGAGTTATACTCTGTGCCAGGTTAATTTGGTACTCCCTCCCACAGAGGATGGATTAGTCTTCCTGCAGCAGGACAAGCCTTGGCTGTTTTGGAGAACCAGCATGAAGATGATTGTCACATATCAGTCTAACACAGTTCTGTAACAGGTTCTTTGCTTCAGTCTCCAATGTGTGGAAGAAGTTGATACAAGTAAGTTAAAGCTATGTCAGATAACTGCAAAAACATCATCTACTCATTTCTATAAAGTCAAGGACAAGGTGAATGCAGATCCAGATTTTGTACTGAAAACCTTGTTTCTCACTCCAAAATGTTAACTAGCAAGTATTACATGTTGCAGAAACTATTTCAAATGGTGTAAGTGATAGGCTGAAAAAGGTGAAGAGGCAATAAGCTAGAAGCCATTACAAGGCTGAATACCCACAAATAGTTCATGAAGGGGGTGGGGGGCACTGATAGGTTTGCTGGGATCTTTCCCATGCCTGCCTCCCCCATTCAGCAGAGCCCTTTGACATTCTGTGTAGCTTTTTCAAGGGACTGAAAAACATGCCATGAGTAGCAAGAAAGGCAGGGAGGGCAGCAAAAAGCCCATTTACACCAGCTATGTTGCATATACCTAAATCAGGATCCAACCCAGGAGAGTTACACCCTTTAACCTTACAGCTAAGGTATGAATCCAAATCACAGTAATTTTCTCTTACCTAGTTCTCTGTTACCTATCTTGCTTCTAAACAAGCTTGAGTTAAACTGTGCAGTGTTTTAGGGAATTGTCAGAGATTAAGGTGATACCATTAGAAAGAGAAGCTGGATGGAAACGCTATGGTACCAGCATACGGTCTGATTGTGCTAAAATAGCAAGACTGCACAGCATTAGTCGTCACAGTCAATTAAAAATGAGCCATTTCGCTGCAGAATGACAATCAAGTAGGTCTAGATAGCTTGAGGCCAGCAGAGCAAATCTGGGTGGAAAGTGACTCAATCACATTCTATATAAAAATGTGCTTATAGTTGCACTTAATATGGAGGCAAAGAGATGCTCTTTATGATTTTCACTGTTGGGTTCACATATTCTAGCACAAAACATCTGAACTAGGACTATTTCTTTGCTCTTGGGTTCTTCAGGAAGCCTGGTTAGCAGTTGCTGGGGGACAGCTGCTATCCCTCTTGTGCTGCTTTTGGCCTTCCCAGCAGCATACCCTTAGGCACTGTGAGGACAGAATGCCTCACAGGTCTTTGGTCTGATTGAGTGAGACTCTTCTGTCCTTACCAAATCACAGCAAGTCTGATAACAAGGTACCTGCACTGGATGATAAAAGAAATCCACCACAGTCAAATTTCTTTGTAAACCACATTCTTTGTAAGTTTAATTCCAGTAAAACAAAACCAAATACAAACAGCCAACAGAAGTACACTTCCCTGCCCTCTGAAGACAAGGGGCAGCAGTGAGAGATGCAGACAAGAAATAAACTCACTGTCTCTGGGAAAGGCAATTGCTTTGTGTTCACCTCCACTGTGGTGGGCTGGACACTTGGCAGCCGAGATTTAGGATAAAACCCTGTCTGTGGGGGTGGGGAGAAAAAAAATAAAAGCCAGTGGACCAGTCCCTGTCCCCCACAGTAGCTTCTTCTAAGTGAGCAGAAAGACAGAGCTCATAGGTATGGGGGCCCCTTGCCACACTGGCTACCAATTATACACAGAGGAGTAACAGACCATTACTGAGGTGTGCAATTAGCACTGCCAGAGCCAGGCTTCCTGAGCAGGGCAATGGTGCAAGGGAAGAACGGGGGTGGGCAGGGGAGAACAAGAGGAAGATCACTTTCTTTAATCTACTTCTTCCATGCGTGATGCATCCTCATCTCCCTCCAGTGGAGGGACCTCTTCAGCGACAGCAGCACTGGGTTCTTCGGCAGCCACTTCATCTTCATCAATACCTAGGAAGAACAGCAGAAGATACAAACATCAGGACAATTCCAGATTAGAAATAATACCACCTTAATCATAATCACAGAGGGAAAGCCTGCATATAGGTATGCTATTAGACCAGCCTTCCTTAATCTGTGACCTTCCAGTTGTGTTGGACAGTGACTCCCATTGTCCAAGCCTGGGAATTCTGGGACATGCAGTTCAACAGTCCATTATAGGAGTCGCAGTCCAAAAGTGCATCAAGATGGGGAAGGCTAGTGTAGACTTAACAGCTGTTTATAGATCTAATACAGATAAGTAAAGTGTGAAGGGAGAACAGGGTGAACTACTTTCAGTGTCACATTATGAAGCATGTTCAAAAGCATTTCACAGAGTTACTCAGCATTCCCAGAAATTCTTGAAACAACCCATACAGTGGAATCAGTGTTGTAGAGGGGCCGAAGGAATGATGGTTTGATGTTTACGACCAACATGGAATCTGAGTTTGGCTTGTCCTCTATATCTGCTCTTTGGAATTTTGCCAGCCTTTATCAATGCCTAGATACCTTGTGGTACTCCAAAATCTCGCATTTTGACTTCAAATCAACTGTGCATACAAAATGCAGGCATTTTCTACTTCTCTGCCTACAGCAAGCACCACTTCAGGTCCATCTTGCTGCACAAACCTAGACAGATCTACCCATGTTTGTCTCCCCTGCTGTCTCTAGAACAGGGCTCCACTTTGATGCTAGTAGGGAGAAAACATCATTCCTTGGGTCCTGAGAACTCATGCTTCCCAAGACCAAGGACCCCTGACCCACTGAAGCTTTGTGACTGAGCACATCAGGGTCAAATGACAAACCAGTGAAGTACCCGGTTTGCCACATTCTGTCTCAGTGCAACCTTCCCAACTTGGCGCCCCCTGTGCTGCATTGCAAGCCTCAACATTCTCAGCCAGCATCACCAGGTTGTGGAAGGTTGTCTTAGTAGTAGAAGCAAGCAGATCTCCAGCGTTTTGGACGTCCTGTCTCCCAACAGCTCACCTAGCCCCAGCTTGATCATCCTATAGATACGGTTGGAATGTGTCTGTGGATCCTCCAGCGAGAAGCCAGATGAAAGCAGCGCCGTCTCAAAGAGCAGCACCACCAGGTCCTTGACGGCCTTGTCGTTCTTGTCTGCCTCAGCCTTTTGACGCAAAGTCTCTACAATGGGGTGTTCAGGATTGATCTCCAGGTGCTTCTTGGCCATCATATAGCCCATGGTGGAGTTGTCACGCAGGGCCTGGGCCTTCATGATCCTCTCCATGTTGGCTGTCCAGCCATAGGTGCTGGTGACAATACAGCAGGGGGAAGAGACCAGCCGATTTGAGACTGTCACCTAGCAAACATTTAGAAAACAATTATGTGGAGTCTTATCAAGAGTAGGGCTGGGGAAGGGCTGGGATGGGGTGTTGTCAGCCACTCACAACCCTACAGAGACAAGAGCCCATAGCAGGGCAGACAAGCTCACCTTCTCAACCTTCTTCTCCAGGATTTCCTTCATGAGTTTGCAAAGGTTTTCAAACTTGGCTTTGCTCTCCTCCATCTTCTTTTTCTCATCCTCATCTTCTGGCAGCTCCAGGCCTTCCTTGGTCACAGACACCAAGGTTTTGCCATCAAACTCCTTCAGCTGTTGAACACTGTACTCATCAATGGGCTCTGTCATGTACACCACCTCAAATCCCCGTTTCCTCACACGTTCCACAAAGGCTGAGTTGGCCACCTGCTCCTTGCTCTCCCCTGCAACCCAAAAGGTTAGGAAGTAACAAAACCCATCCATCCAATCTCACAGTTCCATTGCAGATATTAACACTGCTTTTGCAGGAGGTATGGTTTAACTGGCCTTGCAGTTTGCTAAGCCTCACTAAGGCCCTGAACCTAGCAAGACTGGTAGTCCAACATCCAAATCACCCGGTCAAGTAACTTACATTATTTGAGGCTCACTAGCCTTTGCACTCAATTGCAGTGATCCTGGGTAGCATGATTGTTACACTATTTGCAAAATTTGACAGTCGTTAAGTTCTCTACAAATATAGTCCAAGGCACCAAGATTACTAGTAAAGTTTAAGAACTGTAGTTTTTCCCCCTCAATACAAAATTCAAAATGTATCCATGGACTTGCAGTTCACCCCCAACACTGAGTATCACACATATAAGCCATGATACAGGGATTACCAGGAAAAATGGGAAGATACATGAATGTTTCTCCCTAGATATGAGCCAAACATGCCCCCCCTCCCCAAATGGCTAAGTTACATCCAGGCCATCCAGAAAGCTAAAATACAAGCCCATAGGACATTTCATTACCAGAAAACATCTCAAAATGGAATCTGTTTCTACCAAGCAGCCAATGTGGGGTTCTGAGTTAACACAGAGGCTGGTTTTACGGGAAAATGAGAAATCAAGATACAATTGTGGCTAGGCTAGATTAAGGTTTCGTTTCCTATTATGAATATGTGCCAGCTTTGTATAACTCTATCTTCATAACATCATGAGGATTATGCAATCTAGGGAGCTCCGAGGAGTGCTTCCATTTGTCATCTTGTGAGGAAAACTTACCCCAGGACACAGCATTTTAGCGAGGTGCATGGAGTGCAGAGAACAGGGATGGACAAACAAAGCATTTCAAAGCCCCCCTAGAAAACCTGTTAGCTTCCCAACTCTACTAACAGGTTTTCCACTCTGAAATGGTGAGGTTTAGAGACTGGATTCTCCATCTCTGTTTCAGGGATGGGTAATACGTGGACTTCTAGTTGTTTCTGGAAAGCAACTCCCAGCAGCCATAGCCAACATAGCTAATGGGGGAGGGCAATGAAAGTTGAAATCCAGCCACAAAGAGCCCCTTCCTCATCTCACCTCCACTTAGACATTGAACCAGCAAGCTTCAGGGAAGGCCATCTTGCAAGGCAAGTTGGCCTTGCGTTAGCACCAGTGTTCTTCCTAGAAGTTAGGTCACTAAGCTTCAGAAGTGCAGTATCTGTATAAGTGCAGTATAAGTGCAGATATGCCCGCCCGCCCCTTGAGATCTGCGGGAGAGGCCCTTCTCAGGGAACCCTCCGTGAAGGAAATTAGGAGGGTGAGTACTCGGAGGAGGGCTTTCTCTGCGGTGGTGCCCAATCTATGGAATGCGCTCTCCAGAGAGGTCCACCTGGCACTGTCCTTATTTGTTTTTCGGTGCCAGGTGAAGACCTTTTTATTCAAATGTTATTTTAATTGTTAATATTATTTATTCATTTTATTCTTTGGCCAGGGCAACTTAATTTATACTCTTAATTTATACTCTTAATTTATACTCTTAATTTATATTATTCTATTGAAGTTTATTTATGGTTGTGAGCCGCCCAGAGGCTTCAGCGAATGGGGCAGCATAGAAGTCTCATTCATAAACAAACAAACAAACAAACAAACAAATACAGTATCTCCAAGTCCTAGGATAGTCAAGGCCATTCCTGCTCAACGTAGTCTACATTCCTTTGTGAAGCACCAACATGTCACTCACCGGTGATGTAGTAGATGCTCTTCTGATTGTCCTTCATGCGGGACACATACTCGGAGAGGGAGTGCATCTCATCGCCCGAGTGAGAGGTGTGGTAACGCAACAGCTCAGACAGGCGTTTTCTGTTGGTTGAATCTTCATGGATCCCCAGCTGTGAGCAAGGAGGTTATATACACACATCCATTTGGATTCAGAGATTGCCCTATTCCCAATACATTGGGAAGATTAAAGGACAGTTAAAATAAAAGCTATTCCCCCAATTTTTCATTTAAAGTTGGAAGGAAATCCTATGTTTCAGTTCAAGAACTTAAACTGTGTCCAAAATCTTAGAAGGAAAAATCCTTTTATTCCCTCTGTATAAGGAACTGAAAATATGCATGCCCCCCTCCCCTCACCTAGCCATGAGTTCAGAAAATAAATATCATTCTGGAACCTTCCATGAGAAGAGATCACTTAAATGTGATCATTCTGAATTGGATCCCCAAAATTTAGGAGGAGCAACTCTTTTTCTCTTGCTAACACCAGCTAAACGTCTTTTCAAAGTCCACACAAAAACTATAAATAGGTACCTAACTGGTTAGATATCTAAATGCTGAGTATGAAGGACAACAGGTGATCAGGCTGAAGAGGATCACGCTTTCTGGTCAAAAGATATCACTGTTTCGATTCGCTCCACTTTTTTGAGTTGGTGCCTATGTTTCCTAGCCTTTTTGGAACCATGAGGACTAGAAAATATTTTTTGGTTTGTTCTGTTAATCATTGACAACTCCTAGAATTCTGAAAAAGTTAACATGGAAGAAGTTCAATAAATCCAGATCAAGAGCTTCTGCTGTATCAAAAACTGTGCTGCGCTAAGCACAGGGTGCCCTGGCTCTCACCTTGAGATTCTTGGAGAAGGCCTCATAAAACTTTTTGTAGTTCTCTTTGTCCTCTGCCAGCTCTGCAAAGAGTTCTAGGCATTTCTTGACAATGTTCTTGCGAATCACTTTGAGAATCTTGCTTTGCTGCAGCATCTCACGGGAAATGTTCAGGGGCAGGTCTTCAGAGTCCACCACACCCCGGATGAAGTCTGAGTTAACAAGACAAAAGAAACAGAACCCGAAATGGAAGTATCCCAACAGGGACAGACTGCACACATTGTTTAGTCTAGATAACTAATCTGAAAATGACAGCCAAAGCCCTAAACTCTGGAAACGAGGGCTCCAGTCCATGATGCCATCAGGCTGCCTGGGAGCAATGCTGTTCTAGGTATCTGATGAAGGGGCCACTTCAGGGATGGCCTTCCATGGTGGGGTGTTCTGGCAGCCCAGCCAAGCCAATAATTTTAAAGGCCCAGCCTACTTATATCATCATCCCAAAGTCTCAGGATTTAACTTTTTTAAAACTTATGTTAGGTATAACAGAAAAGGAAAATATTTAGAAAAACACTAGTGAACTCCTCCTGTTAAATGGGCCATTATTTTTCTTTTCTAGCATGGCTTCTGCCCATTTTACAGATACTACGTCTCTTGATGATACATGAGATCTACACACATTATCTATTTGTGACTCAGTGCGCAGTCAGCAGATGAGATCATGTGCTTGAGCTCTTGGCTCTGCACATGTTCTCAGTCCTTGTCTGGGACACTTTGCTACTCTGGGTTCTGGCAGCCCAACACAGTGACCCTGAATCCTCTATGGGGGACTTGCTTCTTCCAGAATTAGAATTTCACCCACAGGTTTGAGATGGGTCAAACAGAAGGGGAAGAAAAGCACCCAGCCTTTAAGTCAGGAAAGGCAGGATCTGAGTGGAAGCTTACTCAGGTACTCTGGGATAAGTTCATCACAGCTGTCCATGATGAAGACACGGCGGACATACAGCTTGATGTTGTTCTTTTTCTTCTTGTTCTCAAAGAGGTCAAACGGGGCCCGGCGTGGGATGAAAAGAAGTGCCCGGAATTCCAGCTGCCCCTCCACAGAGAAATGCTGTGAAGCAGGGAACATTGAATGAGCTACTGAGCCACTGGCAAACCTCCACACTTGTGGGAAAAATGGCAGCAAGAAATGCCTGCCTGGACAGGAAAGCCAGCCATGGCTCAAGTTATGCAATTCAGAACCTACATTGGGGCCACTGAACCTCTTCCAGCACAAGAGCTGAATACTATTTTGGAGAAACTTGTGGGCAGGGCTAAAGCCAAAGGGGCAGGGCCAAATAAAAGCACCCCCCTTTATTTGGTCTTAAAGCTCTTTGCTGCCAATTACCAAACCTTGCCAGAGGCTTGTCAGTCTTTCAGAGTGGGGAGGAAATGCAGGAAAGGCAGGAAAGAACCAAAGACTGGAGGTGGGAAATGTGGCCTGGATTTTGCAGAATCCCAGAGGACAACCAGGGACCCCAGGAGGGCTGAATCTGGCCCACAGGCTTGGGGTTCTCCATCTTGGTCTACATCATAGGATTCCTAGCAGAAACCGGACCTCATCTTATCCCTTTAAAAATCCTAAAGTGGCAGGTGTGACTTATTAGTGAAAAAGGAAGCTGCTCCAACACAATTTCAACTCATCACAGTTGAAGAAATCAGATTGTGTTCCTGCAAGGCATTTGGAAGCCACACACCCAGTTTCTGTCCCTGTAGCCTCTTGAATTCTCTTTTCCCCTCTCTCTTTCTGTGCACATGCCAAGCTTTAAGCCTAGCAACTAGTACTGCTGCTGCTTAGCAAAGGTAGTAAAGAGAAAAACAAGATATTCTCCTTCAGAACAATGTTAGCTATGAGTTGTCTGAAAAATTAGTTCACACTAAGAAATATTATGAAATACTCCGATGTGATGGAAAGTTAGGAAACATCTCAGGAGCTGTGAGAAGAACTTAAAACCAACAGCACCTTGCAGACCAGCTCCTCCATAAAGGGAAGGCTTCTTCTGCCCTTTTCCACAAGGAAGACTGCTTCTCGGTTCACACACAGCTCTCATTTGCTATTACTGATGAGCTTCTGGCTGACACAGGGGCCCAGGCAGTTAGCGGTGGAGTAGTATCTGCCTGCTTGCCCATTTCCACCGCAGGATCTCACCTTGACAGCCAGGTGGTCTTCCCAATCATTTGTGAGGCTCTTGTAGAACTCGCCATACTCCTCCTGGGTGATGTCGTCAGGATTGCGGGTCCAGATGGGCTTGGTCTTGTTCAGCTCCTCCTGGTCGATGTACTTCTCCATGATCTTCTTGGTCTTCTTCTTGCTCTTGCCACCTTCCTCCTCCTCATCTGAGCCCACGTCCTCAATCTTGGGCTTCTCCTCCTCTTTGGGAGTCATCTCTTCTTCCTCCTTTTCATCTTTTTCCTCCTCAGCCTCATCATCACTGATCTCTTTCTCACGCTCTTTCTCCACCTGTGGAAAGAAGGGAAACTTACTGCTGCAGGTTCAAAGACAGCATTAGATTAAAAAGCTTGCCAGGCTCCTGTCTGGCCGTTCTGCTCCTCATGCTTGACAAGTTAGCAGGCTTTTCTACTCTTCCGCAATCTAAAACATGGCCAAACACTTTCCCAGTTGAATGAGAAGGCCAGTAATCATATCCTGAGATGTGACAGAAGTTGAGATGCACCTACTATAGGATGCAGATAACTTTCTCTAGTAAACCATAGCACAGGGTTTCCCACGTGGGACTACCATGGAAAGCAGCTTTGCTTTCCCATCTAGAGTGTGCAAGACTTCTCCATCCTCAGACAAGCAGCCTTTCATCTATCCTATGTTTCTGCATGCATTGCAGAATCCGTATGTGCCTCCTGACATACCTGCTTAGAGTACTGCATGTGCAAAGCAGGGTGTGTGTCTGTGTGTGTGGGAGGGAGGGAGGGAGGGAGAAGCCTCAGGCCCAGCACACAAATCCAGCCCTCTGAGGTTCACCAGGTGACTCCAGTACTGCCTGTCTTTGTGGAAGCCCTTCAAACATCTGAAGGCAGCTATGAAGGCCACCAAGTGACAACTGAAGCCAGCCAAATGCATGCCCAGCCCATATTTATTTATTTTAAACATCTGTAGGCCACCCAATTGTGCCATAGCACCTCTGGGCAGCTCACAACACGAGATAAAAACACAGGTTTTTGCAGGTTGAAGGGCCAGGCAGCAAAAACACTGGAGGCATGGCAGCTGAACTGCATTCAGCTTGGAGGACTGCAAGCTGGGCAAGGCAGCTGTGCGGTTCAGGCAGCATCGTTACTAGTTGAGCCCCACCTGCCTCACACGTGGTGCTGGCGCTTGTTCTTGAGAGATTTCCGAAGGGTGCATTTGCCCTGTAAGTGACGAGCTGAAAACCTGTGGCAGTGAATGAGTGGCCAACAAGCTTTGAAGGTGTTCAGCAAGCACTAGCAAGTGCTGCGTACCAAAAGGTGGCTGTGGGAATTAGCTCCTCTGGTATACCTACATAGAGGGTGATGGGGTAGCCAATGAACTGCGAGTGCTTCTTCACCACTTCCTTGATACGGCGCTCCTCCAGGTACTCCGTCTGATCATCCTTCAGGTGCAAGATCACTTTGGTGCCCCGGCCAATGGGCTCACCTAAGACAGGGGGCAGGCAGACACTGCTCAGAGTTCATTCAGGTCAACAAATGGGACTCAGACAGCTACCAAATGGGGCAGCTATGGGCACACGGTAGCTCTGAATCCACTGGTGGATGACTGCAGCAGACTGGAAAGGATTTCTGACTCCCAGTCATTTAACTAGCAGCAAGATGATGATTCCACAGACACCTGAATTAGATTGCTGAAATTAAGGGGTAACCAGGAGAGGATACATTTTTGTGAAAGAGGGTGAGATCAGGCATCTTCAGGTACTGAACATACATTCCTAGGTTCCAGATGTGCTCAGAGACTCACTGCTCTTTGACTCTTCAGTGTTCTGTCTTTCTCAGGTGGTTCTGATTAGTTTATCTTGAGCTTCTATTAAAACAAGGCAGATCTAACAAGTCTGACATCCACCCAACCCTGAGCTTGGTCTTACAAATGAAAAATGTGAACCAATCAGAATGTCTGGGAGGTGGACAGGATTCTACATATGGTTCAGAATGGGCTGGCGTACAAGTTGGATGACTGGATCAGATGCAGATTTAGCTGTACCTGGAGTGGACTCATGGAAGTCAATGCAACACATCATTTGTGACTCACCCAAGTCCCGCTTATTTCAGTGACTCAGCTAGAGGCATGACAAAGGATCCAACCCACTGAGCTTTTTTTTTAAAGAACAAGTTCCTACTTGTTATTACAAGGAAGAGGTTTTTTTTTTAAAATTACGCACTCAGACACAAACCCTGCATCAGAGCCTAATGTTTGGGGAAAGAGCTTGTGTATTCTGAAAGCAACCCCCACAAACCCATTTGTATTTCTCAACCAGTATGCCTTTGCTTTTGCCCACACAGAAATTGTGCTGCAATCCAGCAGATCTGAAATGCTGCAAATCAAGGGCTACGGGGAATGAGTCACAAGCACCATGAACATTAGCAAGACGGATGCATGTGCGCTTGCATCCGTCTGGGCGCAGAATCTGAACTGTTCTGTCGGGATAGTCCTGGTCACCAAAAAGTGAACTGCCTCCGATGCTGCCTGGCTATTTGCTCACTTCAGAATCCATCTTTGATCCTTTGGGGCCGCTCTGTCCTCACAGCTTAGGAACTGAAACAAATTAGTCAGCTTAACATCCCACAAGCTGAATCAATCCCTTTCCTCTGGGGAAAGCCGATGGTAATCACCCAAGTCATACTTACCATGATCAGTTCTAACAGTGAAGGAACCCCCTGCAGATGACTCCCAGGCATACTGTTCGTCATCGTTGTGCTTGGTGATGACCACCACTTTCTCAGCCACCAGGTAAGCAGAGTAGAAGCCCACACCGAACTGCCCAATCATGGAGATGTCTGCTCCAGCCTGTAGAATGAAAGGAAGAGAACAGATCTCTTAGAAAAGAAGGCAAGTAAGCAACCTGATACACTGCAAACACACACCCTTCTGAAATGAACACAAGCAAGATTTTCTCAGTGACCAAAGAGGAAATGATTCTAGCAGCAGGTAATAAGCAGCTGTTGTTCAGCTGCAGCTTTATACTGATTAAAAAGTCAAAAGCCAAAACCAAAATGGAATGGGGTACTGTCTGGGCAAGATCCTGAACACTATAACAAGGCTTCAAAACAGATAAATTAATGCTAGGCACTGGATTCGGCATTTGGCTGCTTTTTCAAAACAAGTCCATGATGACAGAGCATGAGGGCAATTGCTGGCAAACCAGTCTTTCCAGTAGCAAAGGAGATTCAGTACACTGAATCTCTCTTTCTCTTTCTCCTTCTTCATTACTGTACCATGCAACCAAGACTTGTCTACAAATTCCAGGTTTATGTAATTTTGAACATGACACTCCACAAAGCTACACAATCCATCTGCCTCTTAAATGTCCAACAGTATTACTTTAATGCAACAGAAGCTCAGCAAGACTTGGCTCCATTTTTCAAATAAATGTGAAAACAAGATACACCTTTTCTTCCTATATTCCTTGCCTCTTTACCCCCACCAGGTGGAATGTAATGTTTTGCTAGACCACCTTCTTTCTTTGGTTCCCTGCTTTTTCCAGGTACTTGTCACTCAGACCTGTGTTCGTATGCCAAGAGCTCCACCCCAGTTCTCTGGCGGCCTCCTTTAGCACTCAACCTTCCTTCCATTCATCCAATTCCTAGAAATGGTGGGCACAGCTGATTCCTTGCAGCAGCCCATCCTCTGTCAAAAAGCAAAGTTGGGTGCCTGTCAACCATTAGAATATGGCTGTAGACCCTCTTCCAAGGAAGCTGTGGGAGGTCAGAATAACAGCTTATCTTAGCGTATACCCCTCACTGCCAGCAAAACTTGAGGAGGAGCAGTTCAGTCTGCTAAAGACAGAGGGAGCGTGTGGGGTGGGGGGCTGCACAAAAGCTGGGAAACCACCCTATGTTGGTGTCTGGCAAAAAGGGGCATCGCCCCCAGGCCAGGATGAAAGCCTATATGCACGAGAGCTTAGAGGACCTGGGAGGTCCAGGTCCTGGTCCCCACTCAGCCAGGAAGCTCACTACTGGGTGACTTAGGGCCAGTCACGCATCTCAGCCTCACAGGTTGTTGCTGTGAGAATGAAACAGAGCTATGAAAGCTGCCCTGGAAAAGAGGCGGACCAACTAGTATCAAATGTGGCCTAGGGCTTGGCATGTGTCATTCTTATTTTGGGCTATCCCATATCTGTGCAGTGGGCATGCTGTGCTTTTTGAACCCTGCACCTCTGAGAAGGGCCCAAGCCCTGCTGTCTCATGCTGCCTCCCAAACACCCCAGCTCTGCAACTGCCCACCTGCAAGGCTTCCATGAAGGCCTTGGTGCCAGACTTGGCAATGGTGCCCAAGTTGTTGATCAGATCTGCCTTGGTCATTCCAATGCCAGTGTCCACCAGTGTGAGGGTCCGGTCATGGGGATTGGGGATGATGTCTATCTTCAGCTCCTTGCCACTTTCCAGCTTTGAGGGTTCCGTCAGACTCTCATAGCGGATCTTGTCCAGGGCCTACGAGAGAAGTAAAGGCACATAAACATAGGGGATTTTCTACCAAATGTTGGCTTCACTCAGAGTTCAATAATACGTCTTCCAAAGAGAAGCATAAGGCAACTGCCTATGAGGTTCTCACCTTCGGAGATGAATGAGACAGACAAGTTTTCGCTAAGTAAGAAAAATCTTTTCAGAAGGGCATGACTGCTATCACAGAGCAGCAGCAAAGAGAGGTCACCCAGACCCACTGAGCACTCACTGGACCAGATGTCTCTTGCAGAGCAGCTTCTCCATGGGGAAAAGGAAGAGGTGTACAACACAGTGCTGGTCCTGTCTACTGAAAAGTAAGTCCCATTGCATTCAATGGACCTTATACCCAGCCAAGCAAGTAGATTTCAGCCATGATAAATGCAAGCAGAACTAGGCACTTCTCTCAAACCAGGCTCAGGAAGCAAAGCTGGCCCAGAACTGTAGTGCCCCAGAAAATATGCAGGCATCTTTCTCTCATTTTCTCCTCAAAGTTCATACACTAACCGAGGACTTTGTAGAGGTTTGTAAACTTACGTATTGTGTAAAGAAATGCTGGTTAGAGGGAAATTTCTCTCTTTCTCATATTATATTAGAATGTAAGATAGTGATTGCTGGCAGATTCAGAACAAAGGAAGCACCTCCAGCTTACAATAAGCTGTCATAAGATGCGGTTGAGAGGGCTTTAAAAGGTGATCAGAAAAATTCATGTTACATTAACAGCCAATATGCCTCTGAAAGTGGTCAGGAGGAAGTTTGTTCTCTCTCTCTATTTGATGATAGTAGAATCTAGGGTCATCCTACGAATAGTGCATCTCATTGTCCACTGGGAGAGATACTACAGTTGCAGGCTGCATTGCAGATCCTGAACTGAGCAAGGGGTGATCTCTAAGTGACTTCCCACTGCATAGTTCTAGCTAGGCCTTTGGTCTGATCCAGCACAATCCATAGTTTGTTCTCAAGTATTACTCCTTTGCATTCCTCATCTCCACATGCCATCCACTGTTCTGGAGCACCATACTCACATCAGAGGCGTTGGAAATTATCTCCCGCAGAAAGATTTCTTTGTTGGAGTAGAACGTATTGATGATCAGGGACATAAGCTGGGCAATCTCTGCCTGGAAGGCAAAAGTCTCCACCTCCTCTTCGCCATGCTGGATTTCTTCAGGCATCTGGAAGAAAATTCAAGGTATCAGTACCTTCGTAACATACTTTAATAACAGTGCTGGGTATTCACAGAGCATCCAAATAAGCTTCACATATGTTGCAAACCCTGTGAAGTAAGCCTATAATATTGCCCCCATATTACAATACCAGGGGGCTGAGCCTGTACTGGCCTGGGAGCAGTGGCCTTCCACAGCCTTGCGTTTAAGCACTAGGACAGCAGCCACAGGCAACCAGGGACGGCACACAGGCATGAAGAGGGAAGCCCAGTATACAAATGCAGCGGTTCCCTGCTCCTCTGCCAATGACCAGAAAGCTATACTGGCTCATTCCTGGATTACATGGTGGAAAGTCAGCTGTGTTATCTCAAGGACCTGAAGAAAATATGTAGACAAGGATATGGATGTTTCCTAAGTGTCCCATGGCCACTCAGCTGCTCTCATCCCAGACAAGGATAAGGTCCTTGCGATGCACAACTGATTTACTCTAGCTTGGATTGTTTCCATGCATGAACAAGGTCAGGGATAGATACTGCCAGGCTTCCTCTCATGTCACCGTGCCACATCTTGCAGCGCTTCATGAACTCAACAGCTGACCTGCATTTCTAACTATCTGTTTTTTTGGTTCACCAATCCCACTTCAAGCTTGATTTGTGTAAATCTTACATAAAACCCTAATTGCTAATACAAACCAGAGATTGCAGTTAGAGAAGAGAATGCTTTGCTGTAATTTTTAAGTTTAAATAAAAGTTGGATATGATAGTGATGGTCACCTTTCAGCAGCAGCCTTCCCCAACATGGTGCCCCCTCAAATGTGGTGGGATTACAATCCCCACACTCCTCGAATAGGTGAGGATCTGCCCCAGCACATCTAGAGGGCACCAGGTTGAGGGAGCCTGGGCCTGCTCAAGAGGCTCTTCAGTAGGCGACCTGCCCTGCCAACATGTGCGTCAACGGGGCCCGGTGGGTGGTTTTTAACGCCGTTCCCCCGAGACCCAGCTGGGGCGGGATGGCCTAGCGGGCGAAGCTTCCTCCTACGGCGGCGGAGAGGAAGAGCACGGCACGGCTCAGCCACAAGGGGCGGTGAGCGAGGCGCGTGCTGCGGGCCTGCAGCGAGCCTGCTCGGGCCTAAATCCACGGGCACGTGTGGAGCCCCGTTCCGCGGAAAGGGCGCCCGGCGCGGCGCAGGACCCCTGCGATGGAGGGTGGGTGCGGGGGATCCTGGCAGGGGCGCAGCGCAGGAATCCTCAAGATGCGGCCCTCCGGGGGCCTCTCGGTCTCGCCATCCTCTCCAGCGCCACATGGCTCCGGCAAGCAGGTGCGCCGCGTTGCGCCGCGCCGCGCGTCCCTTTTGCGCCGCAGCCGCGCGCGCGGCGGCACTTCTCCAGGCACAGCCCCCCGCCCCCCGCCGCATCGCCGGCCTCGCTCGGGGGCTTCCAGGCCCCGCATACCTTGATCGACGGAGATGAAGCTGGAGCACGACCCGGTCTTTCCGACAAAAGCCCGGAGAGGAGGAGGGACCGCCCGTGCCGGGCCTATATAGGGGCTGAGAGCGGAACTGTCGCTCGGCGTGCTGCCTCCGCCTTAAAAGGGTGCGGGTGTGCTGGGCCGGCGCAGCGGCAGCATCCCTGTGCAAGGGAGCCTTGCGGCGCATCGAAGGCGAGCGCCTGGCTGCAGGCGGAAGCTTCCGCGGCCGCTGTCCAGCTCCGCAGAAGCGAAGCGTTGACCTTGGATCAGCACAGAGGCCGAGCTGCAGCTGAGGACGGAGGGCATAAACTGTGTAAATAAATGGCAACTGCTAGGGGATTCATCACTGAACGATACTCAGGGCATCATATGTATTATATATGTGTATATAATCTGCATGTATCTATTATGGCAGAACACAGGTGTTTGTCTTAAGGGACTACAGGATAGCAAAGACTGCTGGAAACCTTCCAGCATATTCCCTGGTTAAAATCCTATTCCTAGTTCCAGACAGGTAGCCTAGCATGTCTGTTTCTCACAATCAACAAGGAGTCTTGGGATACTTTGAAAACCAACAACTTTCCTGTACCAGAAAGTAGACTTCACTTTAACAATCTGACGAGCTGGACTGGACAGTCATCTGAGTGGGATGGTGTCTGCAACTGCAGGGATTTGGTCCCAATCACCTTCTTGGCCCCATCCAACTCCCCTATGATTTTATGATTCTATTACTCCACTATTCTGTTACCTTTATGATTCCACAAATATTTGCATCACAACAATGGTGAAATCCTATACTTATCTGTGCAAAAGTTCAATAGAACTTAGTCCTTACTGAGTTCAGAAGAATTTAATTCCAACTAAGCATATATAGAATTGCCCTCTCAGTCTATAAGTTTTAAGTTGTAATGGTTTTAGGTTGTAGTCCTAAACACATATACTTGGAAGTACATTCCATTGACTTCAGTGCAGCAACATGTATCAGATTCCACTGTCAAGACTGCTGAAAACCTCACCTCAGAATGAACTGGTAGCTGTCCAAAGCCCTCAGGATTAGAAAGGCTAAAAGTAAATAAGTTGTGGCTTTCATTTATCAAAGCTTCAAGATTACATGCATGCAACTTTCAGAGAGTTGCAAGGCAGCTTTAATTTTACTTACATTTCTGTACAACAGCCTTTAGATATCTCTGTGTATGTGCATGAGACAGAAAACTGAACAGTTCATAATCAAATACTTGCATATCTGTTGCATTCGGCTAATATTATTTATTCATTAATTCATTAATAGCTGAGATGTGCAACCAGTGGCCCTCCAGATGCTGTCGTTGCCACCAGCCCCAGCCAGCATAACCGGTGGACAGGTATTATAGTATAACAACATCAAGACAGCCATGGGTCTCAGCTAGATTTAAAGCATTTTTACCTGGTTCTTCATCCTGAAAGGCTCCCAAGTAACCTCACAGATTCATTTAACAAGCTGAGATACTGTCTGCCTCAAGTTGCAATCTAAATGACTTCAAGTCATTGTTGTTGTTATGCACCTTCAAGTTGTTTCTGCCTCATGGCTACTCTATGGATGAACAAATACCCTTCAAAATGACCTGACTTTGACATCCCTGCTCAGCTCTCGTAAATTCAAGGCTGTGGCTTCCCCTGTGGAACAGATTCACCGTATAGTTGCTCCTTCCTTTCTTCTGCCGTTCAATTTTCCCCAGCATGATTGTCTTATCAGGTGAATCTTGCCTTCTCATAATGTACCCAAAGTAGGACAGCCTCAGTGTCATGACTTTTGCTTCCAGGGCACGTTCTGGCTAGATTGGATGCAGGACTCATTTGTTTTTCTGTCAGTCTAGAATAGCTCCCTTCCACCACAATGTCCTGAACAGATCCATTTTCTTCCTGTCAGCTTTCTTCTCTGTTCAGCTTTCACACCATACGTAGTGATCAGGAATACAAGAACATGGATGACCTTGGCCTTGCTCCCCAATGAAACATCCTCACGATTATTTTTTTTCTAGTTCCATCATTGCTGCCCTTCCAAGTCTCAGGTTTCTTCAAATTTCTTGGTTGCAGTCTCCCTCTAAACTGATGTCTGAACTAAGGTATGCAAAATCTTCTACAATTTCGATTTCTTCATTGTTGACAGTAAAGTTCTGTAATTCTTCTGTAGTCGTGATTTTTGTTTTCTTCATGTTCAGCTTTCACTTTCATCAGGAGTCCTTTCAAATCATTGCCACTTTCTGGCAGTAATGTGGTATCCTTTTCATACTTTAAATTATGTGTGTACATTCCACCAATGTTCATTCTTTGTTCTTCTGATCCTAATGCAGCTTTTTTTTTTTTTTTTGAAAGCATTTTTTTTTTTTTTTTTTTTTTCTAAAATTTTTTTTTTTTTTTTTTTTTTGGAAAGCATTCTGTTTCTTCACATTCTGTCCTAACAGTTCCTTCTTGTATGCAATAAAGGTAATCCATCAGGACAATCAAATGCTGAGGTACACCCAATTACTTCAAGACCATTTGTACTCTTCATGAGCCACACAAGGCTTTGCTGTAGTCTATAAAGCAGACTCTGTTTCAGATCTTCTTCTAAAATTCTGTGCTCCAGCAGCCAATGTGTATTTGCAATAAGATCTCCAGCACCTCTTCATTTTGGAAACTAGCTTGAAGTTTAGTCATTCCTTATAAGGGTAAAGCTCAATACAAGGTAAAAGGAATGACAAAAAGAATAAGTTATGGGGAGGGAAGAGGAAAGCCCTGAAAAGCATCATGTGAGAAAATTTCTGCCTAGTACTTCTGATCAGTGCAAATAAATCCAGAATAAAACACTTAACAGTATAGTCCTACTTATGTCTGCTCAGAAGCAAGCCCCCATCAACTGGGGGACTTAATTGCTGCTGAATGTGTATAGGACTGCAGTCTTAAAAACTGAAACAGAAGTTTGTGATATGCAAATTTGAAAAGACATTAGGTAAGAGGCCAGATATGTCCTTTATCCTGAATTATATACTTGTATCAGTGCATGTGCTCAACAACACAATAATTATGATAAATTATTAGCATTTTCAGTTTTTATAACACATGTGAAAGTGTCCGTGATTCATGCTGGTGTAGTTTAATCCATTTTTCAAGGGTTCTGCAGAAGTTTGATGGATGGCAATCTAGGAGACTCAGGCTGAAGCACCTTAAAGACCAACAAATCCTTAAAGAATTTGTTTTGTCATAGGCTTTTGTGGATAGAAGCTTGTGCCCAAATCAATTTGTTAGTCTTTTAAGGTGCCACAGGAGTCTTTCTAGTTCTAATGTACATTGTTTATGTTGTGGGACCCACAAGATCATTCCTACTTAAGTGACAGAGAAAGCAACGGCCGGAAACGTGCGAGTCTGCAATTCTCCCGCCTGCCTTTCCCCGATGTTTGCATAGCCATTTTATTAGAAATACACTGCGGTGGCTGCTGAGGATTGGCAGGAGGGAACTGAGTCTTCACGACCCAAAAGCTCGAGTCAAAGAGGGGACAGAGGGTTGTTCTGACATCACCACCCCTGCCTTGGAAGCTCTGCCTATTTTCTGTAGGTACGAAGGCATTCTGCACATGCTCGGAGGTGCTTTCTTAGCGTTTTATACATTCCAGGCTTTCAGGCGCGATTCAGTAGGAACCACCTTGCCCCAACCTGGAGCCCTCCAAATGTGTTGGACTGTAACTCTAATTATTTCGAGTTAAATAATGGAAACTGCACCCAAGTCATCTGGAAAGCACCATGGTAAACAAGGTTTCTATAAGCGCTCGGGTGGGTGGCTGGAGATGGGCCACGCCACGATCCAGCCGGGTCTACAGAGCCCTTCTCCACCTACTACTTCAGCTTGGCGGTCCAGATTAGCAGCAAAACGTGCGCACTCGGGGCACGGCGGACCACGCCGAGCTGAGAGGGGGAGACTCTGCGGATGGCTCCGGCTGGTCCGCAGCGGCGAGGCGAGCCGAACTATTTTCTGAGGCGCTTTGCATCGTGGCGTAAGGAGACATCTTGCTGCATGGCAACTTTCTCAGTCTTTCCTTTCGGAGGCTTCGGAGCCGGTACCTGGTCGGCTGTTGCTGCGCTTGCATCTTCCGCCTTTCTTCTGCGAAGAAACTTGGGGTCCCAGCAGCGAGTTTAAGGCACTGCAGCCGGGGGACCACCTGACCCTATCTGCACCTTCCTGTTCTTTCATCTTAGTCCTGTGTTCATATTAGTCCAATACTAATGTTGGACTAATGTTAGGCCAACCCAGAGATCACTCGAAGATGTGCAAGCATTTGACATCATTAGCTCTCTCCATCAGGGATGTTGCAAAAAAGTTTTGGGGGCAGGGAGGGGGAAGAAATCTGATGTGCTGGTAAAGTAACAGCATTTGCATGATGAAAATGGGGGACATGGAGGGATTTGCACAGGTCAGTAGGCAGCCTAATGTTGGGGGGGTGCCAAAAATATAGGGGCAATTTATTTGATCTGCAGGCAGGCTTTCTAATGACAAAGGTGTAAACATTTTTTGTACAGTGGTACAGTTGACATGAAACTCAACATCGAGAAAACTAAGATCATGACATCAGGTTCTATCACGTCCTGGCAAATAAAAGGGGAAGAAATGGAAGTGATAGAACCCGACAGATTTATTTATTTATTTATTTTGGGCTCCAAGACCCCTGCAGATGGTGACTACAGCCAAGAAATTAAAAGATGCTTGCTTCTTGGGAGGAAAGCTATGGCAAATCTAGACAGCATACTAAAAAGCAGAGGCATCTCCCTGCCAACAAAAGTGTGTATAGTCAAGGCTATGGTTTTCCCAGTTGCAATGTATGGCTGTGAAAGCTGGGCCATAAGGAAGGCTGAGCGTCGAAGAATTGAGGCCTTTGAATTGTGGTGCTGGAGGAGACTCCTGCGAGGCCCTTGGACCACAAAGCGATCAAACCGCTCAATCCTAGAGATCAACCCTGTCTGCTCTTTAGAAGGCCAGATAGTGAAGATGAAATTCAAATACTTTGGCCACCTAATGAGAAGGAAGGACTCCCTGGAGAAGAGCCTAATGCTGGGAACAATAGATGGCAAAAGAAGAAGGGG